TCCTTCGCAGCAGATATCAACCCATCGGACGAAGCAGACGTTTACGATGAGCCGCCGATTCTCATCCCTGAAGTACCGGTGAGGAAGAAGACGAGATCTTCTTCTACACTGACGCCAGCAACTATATCAACGCAATCACTATCTACGCAGACTGCAGATACCAGGGAGGACAGGCAGTCCTTAGATGACACCTCAGCACTGTCAGATGCGGGCGTCATCTGTACAACAACACCAGTTATCAGCGCAGACCTTCAACCCGGGCATCTTTATGCAGCAGTTTACCCAGCAGATGATGGACCTGATGGAACGAAGGTTCGCACAGGAGAAGGCTGCAGAGAAGCAGACGAATCTGCAAGGAGGACGAGCATCGTCTACACCTCATTGGGATGAAGGAAGCAACCTGCATGAAGGGAACGTTCGTGAAGGGAACGTTCATGAAGAAGACAGCACTCGTGACAGCAACACTCGTGACGGCATTCGCTAAGGCATTCGCGGAAGAACCACTCGTGAAGACGCTCATGGAGACAACAGTCGAGAAGACAGCATCCCCGAAGGCATTCGCAAAGGAAGGAACAATTATGAAGAGGCTCCTGCAATAGACGAGGAGCATTCGCGAAGGCATCGCAGATCATCCTCATTCTCGGACTCAGACAATCATCGGAGGTCTGCGCGAACGTCCCGTAGAAGAGAGAATACACCTTCACGAAGGCATACACCTCACAGAGACAGATCACATTCACGCAGGTCTTCAGGAAGGTCTTCATGGTTGTCGCCACGCAGATACAGATCACCTACCACATCTCCAGGAAGGCACTCGCGAGTGCCTTCGCGCAGGCTTACACATAGATCTCCACCTAGAGATCAGGACCAACGGCAACGATCTTCAGAACAAGACACATCTATACCTGAAGATGATGGGGGAATTATTTTCTCCGACACAGAGATTAAATCCTGGATGGCTAATGGTTTAGAGCTTGCATCACCATCTAAAGAGAATAATGAAGCATACACATACATGATGTCTAACGACGATTTTGACACGCTGACGCTGCCACCCATAGACCCTGTATTGGACGTCCCAGACAACCTCAGTTCAGCCTTCAAGAAGGCAACGAAGTATCAAATTCAAAGCATTCCACCTTTTAATGACAAGAGATTTTCACTACACCACATGGAACCATTCATGAAGGCCCCAGACATAGATGAAAACTATAAACTCATCAATGACGCTCGCATCAGGACTTATAAAGTGGAGGACAAGAAGCTAGCGCAACTAGACACAACCACTAGACGTACCTTCTTTGGTTTAGCCAGATCAAGAGCCATCAACGAAACCCTAATTGCGAAGTTTGCAAATTCAACATCTGAAGAAGATCAAATGATCTACTCAGCCTTACTGACCCAAAGGAAAGACCAACAGTTCATGTCAGAACATTTAGCGTCTACATCGGCGGGATTAACGCTGCTAAGAAGACAAGGTCTACTATCATCTTGTAAATGGAGTGAGAAGTTCACCAAACCGTTATTCAGAGCTCCATGGGCAGCAACGAATATCTTTGCAGGGGAGATTGAGGACGTGGCAAAAGAAGTTACGAAGGAGTCCAGAGAAGTCATGATGATCAAGTCCATCGATACACTGGCCAGCGTTATCAGACAGACATCACAGCGCTACTCTGGCAAATCTAAATTTGCAGGGATTCAGAGAGCTAGAGACAAGAAATATGGCACTTCCAAGGGATATAAGGATTCTTTTCGTCGCCCAAACCGGAGCTCCCAGAGGTAACCCCGGAAGAGGCAGAGGATTCAGAGGTGCCAGGAACTTTAGATGTTGATGGACAGGGTCGGAACGACTGGAGTCTTCCACCCACAACCGTTCCCGTACAACCCTCACCAGTTGGTGGACGCCTACAACTTTACTGGAAGAATTGGGGAATTCTACAAGACGATTATGTATCCCAGATACTACACAGAAGATACACGATAGAACTACAAGCAGTTCCACCTTTAACAAGCACTCCTCAGATGTACAACTATGCTACCGATCAGAAGGAGAAACTACTCGATGCCATTACAACTCTACTCGACAAGAAGGCAGTCGAAGAAATAAATATCGTCACACCCGGTTTTTACTCCCCAATTTTTCTAGTTCCAAAGAAAAATTCCAAGGAAAAGTTCTGACTGATTTACAACATGAAGAAATTCAACCAGGATTATCTAAGAAGGCCCGCAAGATTCAAAATGGTACATCTTCCACAACTCAGACAGATCATCCGTCCGTCAGATTATCTAGCCAGCATAGATCTACAGGATGAGTATATTCACATCCCAATACATCAGGACTCAAGGAGATACCTCCGATTCCTATTCAACGGACGTCACTACCAGTGGAAGGTACTACCGTTTGGAATATCGTCGGCCCCCTGGTTGTTTACTCGAGTGACAAAGCCCATCATCAGTTACCTACATCATCAAGGTCTACGCAGTGCGTTTTACCTAGACGACTGGATTCAAGCTCATCAAGATCCTAATCTACTCAGACGGCAACTGGCATTTACAATCAAACTACTCACTCAACAAGGATGGTTAGTAAATCATCTCAAATCGGAATTGGAACCTACACAGGATCTACAATTCCTAGGGGGGTAGTGGGGTAGCCTAGTGGTTAAAGCATTGGCTCGTCACGCCGAAGACCCGGGTTCGAATCCCCACATGGGTACAATGTGTGAAGCCCATTTCTGGTGTCCCCCGCCATGATATTGCTGGAATATTGCTAAAAAAGCGGCGTAAAACTAAACTCAGTCAGTCAGTACAATTCCTAGGAATACGAATCATCACTTCAACGAATCGACTACTAGTCTCGGAGGACCGTTGGATCAAGATATAACAGATGATATCACAAACACTACTCACTCCGTTACCACTACGAGAGTGGCAGAGTCTACTCGGTCTCCTCACGTTAGCGCAAGACATGACACGCAGAGGCAGATTACTTTTGCGCCCACTACAAGTGTTTGTGAACGATCATCTAGACAGTCTGGATCCATTCGTCCTACCGAACGAACTGAAACCATACCTATTATGGTGGACACGGAAGTCGAATGTCTGCGCAGGAACCTACTTAGCAGAGCCGGAATCCAACATTCATCTCTACGCAGATGCGTCCCTTCAAGGATGGGGAGCTCACTTAAACAACAAAGTGGCATCGGGGAAGTGGTCGAATCAGGAACAAAAACTACACATCAACATGCTAGAGTTGAAAGCAGTTATAAACGCCTTACTACACTGGTCCAGCATACTAAGGAACGCTCAACTGATGATCCATACAGACAACTCCACAGTGGCGTTTTACATCAACAAACAAGATCAAGGAGCATGTTGGACCTCAGCTTTCAACTATTCAGCATAGTAGACACCCTGAACATCGACATAAAAGCATCACACATTCCCGGAGCCAGAAATGTGATAGCAGACGCCCTAGCCCGTCCAATGAATCCATCACCGACGGAGTGGATGTTACATCCAGAGGCATTCAGGGACATCATTCGGACAGTAGGATCCCCACTGGTAGATTCTTCGCAACCAAGTTCAACAAACAACTACCAACATTCGTCTCTCCGGTTCCAGATCCTCAAGCATGGGCAACAGATGCTCTAAGCATATCTTGGGAAGGACTAAACGCTTACGCGTTCCCTTCCCCAGCGTTAATACCGAAGGTATTACAGAAAATCAAGGTGACGAACAAGTTACAACTGATTTTGGTCGGCCTTTATTGGCCAGCGAGAGAGTGGTTCCCCAACCTCATACAAGATATAGGAAATCCAATCCTACAACTTCCAAAGTGGCCAAATCTACTGATTCATCCACACACCAAGCAAGCACACAGAAACCCAACAATGTTTCAGCTACACACATGGAGCGTATCACGACTTTGCTTGAAGAAAAGAGGATATTCCACCAGAGCGGCCAAAGCAGTAACTTTAGCCTTACGTAGATCAACCCGTACCTTGTATGATGACAAGTGGCAAAGTTTTGAGAAATATGCACAGAATAAAGGCTTCACTGCGATGGAAGCAACACATCCTCAAGTGGCAGAATATCTTTGTCATCTCAGACAGACAAACGATTAAAGGGATCTACACTCTCTACATACCTAGCGGCCTTGAGAATGGGATCTCAATGTGGTTTTACAGCATCTTACCAGTGAAGATTATGAACCACTAGAAAGGACATCATATGAGAAATTAACTCATAAAACCCTGTTCCTCGTAGCCCTAGCAACAGCGGCAAGGATGTCAGAAATTCATGCTCAAGACTTCGGAAGAACAAGATTTGACACGCATCGTGACACAGTGCATCTGGGACTAAGATGGGATTTTATAGCAAAGAATCAACTGCCTGGTCAACCAGACAGACAATTCCATATCCCAGCACCTTCGTCGATATTAGGACCGCAGGATACTCAAGATCGATCCTTATGTCCAGTCAGAGCATTGAAAATATATCTACAAAGGTCTAAATTGAGGAGACGAAAATTCAAGCGCCTTTTCATCCCTCTATCCACGGAGATACCTACAGAAGTCTCACGTACGACTATATCAATATGGATGAGAGCCGTCATATTTAAAGCCTATAAAGCAGCAGGACTTGATCCTCCACGAGCCTCCAATCTTCATGAAGTCAGAGCACTGGCATCCACACTAGCTCTGCATGGAAACTGCTCCATCTCAACAATAATGGAGGGCTGCTTTTGGAGATCGGAGACGGTGTTTGCCAACCACTACCTCAGAAACATGGCTACAGAGGACGTCTCCGGAATCCACCAGTTTGGGCCCCTTGTAGCACAACAATTGACGGTACCTCAAAGACGCTGAGATAAATCTCACCCCTTTGTCACGTGACTTGTAAAAGCCAACACTCAACAGAGTTACGGTTTTAAAGTCCATGCGCACGTCTAGGACAGGCTAGCATGAGTGATGAACCCTGTACTTGTAAGGACTTACTTGTACACGAAGTAGGGTCACTTCTCCACTTGATGCAAGCATCAAGAGAGGGAGTTGCATAAATCCACACAGAATGTCAGGAGAAGATATTCCAGGATAAATCTGACAACTTGTGGTCCCCCCACTCATCAGAGGAAGCTGGAAGAAAGGACAAATGCCATTAGAAGTTCCCTAGGGGGTATAAGGACATAAATCAGCAGAGAATCCAGAGTGGCTTGACCCACCACCGATTCTGTCGGATTCTACAAGCAATTAAGCATGAGTCAGGATAAGGAAAAATATGTAATTTTCTTATTAAAATTGATATTTTATGTTTATCCTGACTCATGAGGTTAGCCCTCCCAACCTCCCCTCATGGCACTCTGGATTTCCCTGCAAATCCAAGTGTCGGGCTCGAATATACGGAGAGAGTGACAAGCATGGCTGATCATGTGACCAACTTTTGGCGCCAAAGATGGGTTAAAGGGAGACTACTGGGGTGAGTGATTTTACGTCCACTTTTTTGAAGGGAGCTTCAAAAGGGGATTCAAGTGTTCCACTATAGTTCGCAAGAAGAAGAAGACAAGCAATTAAGCATGAGTCAGGATAAGTATAAAATATCAATTTTAATCAGAAAATTACATTATTTAGGGACAAATGAGGTTCATTTCATCAAGGTTGTTGGTTTAGCCTGGAAGTTAAACAGTTGTTGCAAGACCTGGGCTAGATAGGTGTGACCATAATAATAGCACTGATTGCAAGTTTCACCAAAGTGGTAATGTCAGTTACCTAAAGGACTTTCAGCTTTTTCCTCACCAAGCTGACATCATGAATCCAAGCTCCCTAATGCTGTATTTCACCAACCCCAGCATGCAATGTGAGCGACATTGTTTCATGTATCATGGCTGAAACCTATAAATACACAATGCCATAAAGAGTGACTGAGCATGGTTTTACGCTTCTTGTAGCAATATCATAACAGGGGAGACCAAAATGTCTTTGGCATGATGAGCGAACACTTAAACAGCTACTCTACCCCACTGCATGCCCTTTTAGAATGTAACAGATGTTATATTTGGGGTGAAACTGTATCAGCAGAGTACTATTCCTAGTACACTTAGGGTTAAGTCCATCTTGGATTCCAACCCACACTCTCAGAGTGAGGCACCTAATTACCTTCAAAGTAAAGCCACACACCATGATGTAACTGGAATACTGTTGAAAGCAGCATCAGGGGCGGTGGGGTAGCCTTGTGGTTAAAGCGTTGGCTTGTCACGCCGAAGACCCGGGTTCGAATCCCCACATGGGTACAATGTGTGAAGCCCATTTCTGGTGTCCCCCGCCGTGATTATGCTGGAATATTGCTAAAAGCGGCGTAAAACCAAACTCAGTCAGTGAAAGCAGCAGCCTACTCACTCACAGACAGATATTGTCTACTTCATCCATGTAGAATCCAGGTTGAGGCTAAAATGTAGTGAGATATGTTAAGAGGTACTGGTCTGTTCCAGCTGCCCCCATCCCTGCAGTCCCTCCTGGAGCAGGAACCACTTGGACTGTCGCCAACACTCTTTGTTCTGGTTACCATAGCAACGATGATATCCTTTGCCACCATCATGTTATGTGGCTGTATCTGTGGGGTAAGTGAAGTGGTCGGGATAATCGATGTTTATGCAAATATCCTTTATCAGTCAATCATGTTAATGGACAATATGCCATGTCTACATTCTATTTATAGTCCGGTTGGGATTTAAAGTATTTGTATTATCAGGGATTTACCTTGAGTCTTGTATTTGAGGGTCCCTGGGACTCATACTCTTAATTTTCAGGGAGTTCTGGACAACAAAATGGGGGTCCCAGACACTTAAATATTATCATTAATACTGTTATTGTATTGTATATCATCATCATCACTTAATTATTACAGTAGTTAAATTGCATATGATACCATAACCCAGCTAGTAGCAAACTCAGTGATAACCTATTGTTAGTTGATTGGACTTTTTACAAAAAGCATTTGGACTTTTTCTGCATCCCTGTGGATGCCCTAATTAATTTTGTTGCATCCATTTTCAATTTTTATGCATATAGGATCCAGAAATTCACGTCCTGTAAATCCCTGGTATTATGCTGAGATACTGAAAATATGTGCTTAAAACTAAAGTTTGAAATCTTTTAAAATTTGTAACATAAATTCTTTCAGGGGGGCAAGCAAGTTACAAGGAAGGACCCACTTGGTGAGTTCACGGTGAATTTAAATCATTTGGAGATTTCGGATTTGAATCGGTTCTTAGCAGTCTATCTCTTTGAAGTATCTAGGGGATCATACAACCATCATACCAAGACAACATGGATTGTACGTCAAAATATTGAATTAGGAGATAAACACCATGTGTTGGCCAATTTCTGGGTGTTATTGAGTATTTGAAGCACAGGAATTCATTTGGAACCGATGGCGTCAGCCGGAGGTTTTAAATGAAATATTCCCGTGCTTCAAATACTCAATAACACCTGGAAATTGGCCAACACATGATGTTTATCGACATTGTAAACACAAAAGTAAACCAAAAGGTCCACACACGTTTTTGTGTCTGCACTCACTGACATCGAGTACGGGTACAGCAGTGAAATGTCAGCCGATCGTTTCGACTGTTTCCCATGGTAGCATCTGGAACTGCTCATTTGTGACGTCATTCGGACTTTACGTCACAATATGATTTTAATGACGTCATCACAGCTGACGACGTAACAATACAATGGTGTGAGCGATGTTTGCTTGTATTAATATGCAGCGAATTTCCGGGAATCGAATACCATTTGATCACGTTTTTCAACCAATCAGATTAAAGAACACAGTGACTCTTGGTTTACAATATTGGATTGTATGGTCGAGAATCAGTTAGGGGCTGTACTCTTCATAATTTATGGCTTGGTCGGGTGATGATGATATTTTAAGGAGGGGTCACCCATTGTGTTCTGGGGAGGTAAGGGGGGGCATCAGTTTTGTACACATATACTAGGGGGAATTCAGGGGAAGGGGAGTGTGTCACTTACTTCGTATGTAAATTTTAGGGGTGTCATTCACATTGTACATGCTTCTCCATGAAAATCATCATCAGCCCCCCTAGCCATAAATTATGAGTGATCCCTTATTTACAGGCCAGCATCGTTCAGGTAGGATTTGTAGGATAGGTTTTTTACAACAAACAAACCGACAATCAGTAGTGAATTTGAGTTGTGTATTCTTTGAAATGGTATACAGGAGGTATCTGAAAATAACCAGATCCAATCAGTGCATGCTTGACTTTGTTGTTGTTGTTTGGCCATGTAACTGTGTTGTGACTTTCCAGTTGTTGTCCGTGAGATTGAGGAGAAGCTGTTCATTGCTACCAAGGAGAAGGAGAACTTAGAGGACCAGCTACAGCTGATACAGAGTGAGGTGAGGTAGTCAGGTGGTGGATGTTGCCTGATGTTGGAGTGAGTGTGTGAGTGAGTGGAGGTCACACCTTTACCCGGAGCGAGGTGAGGGCGATGCTGGTGTGAGGTGGTGGATGTTGCCTGATGTTGGAGTGAGTGAGTGAGTGAGTGGAGGTCACACCTTTACCTGGAGCGAGGTGAGGAGCGATGCTAGTGTGAGGTGGTGGATGTTGCCTGATGTTGGAGTGAGTGAGTGAGTGAGTGTGTGGAGATAACACCTTTACCAGGAGTGAGGTGAGGGGTGATGCTAGTGTGAGGTGGTGGATGTTGCCTGATGTTGGAGTGAGTGAGTGAGTGTGTGGAGGTCACACCTTTACCCGGAGCGAGGTGAGGGGTGATGCTAGTGTGAGGTGGTGGATGTTGCCTGATGTTGGAGTGAGTGAGTGAGTGTGTGGAGGTCACACCTTTACCCGGAGCGAAGTGAGGGGCGATGCTAGTGTGAGGTGGTGGATGTTGCCTGAAGTTGGAGTGAGTGAGTGAGTGAGTGGAGGTCACACCTTTACCCGGAGCGAGGTGAGGGGTGATGCTAGTGTGAGGTGGTGGATGTTGCCTGATGTTGGAGTGAGTGAGTGAGTGTGTGGAGGTCACACCTTTACCCAGAGCGAAGTGAGGGGTGATGCTAGTGTGAGATGGTGGATGTTGCCTGATGTTGGAGTGAGTGAGTGTGTGGAGGTAACACCTTTACCCGGAGCAAGGTGAGGGCTGATGCTAGTGTGAGGTGGTGGATGTTGCCTGATGTTGGAGTGAGTGAGTGAGTGAGTGGAGGTCACACCTTTACCTGGAGCGAGGTGAGGAGCGATGCTAGTGTGAGGTGGTGGATGTTGCCTGATGTTGGAGTGAGTGAGTGAGTGAGTGTGTGGAGATAACACCTTTACCAGGAGTGAGGTGAGGGGTGATGCTAGTGTGAGGTGGTGGATGTTGCCTAATGTTGGAGTGAGTGAGTGAGTGTGTGGAGGTCACACCTTTACCCGGAGCGAGGTGAGGGGTGATGCTAGTGTGAGGTGGTGGATGTTGCCTGATGTTGGAGTGAGTGAGTGAGTGTGTGGAGGTCACACCTTTACCCGGAGCTTACTAGAAGTGAGAGCTGATGCTAGTGTGAGGTGGTGGATGTTGCCTGAAGTTGGAGTGAGTGAGTGAGTGAGTGGAGGTCACACCTTACCCGAGCCGAGGTGAGGGGTGATGCTAGTGTGAGGTGGTGGATGTTGCCTGATGTTGGAGTGAGTGAGTGAGTGTGTGGAGGTCACACCTTTACCCAGGAGCTGGAAGTGAGGGGTGATGCTAGTGTGAGATGGTGGATGTTGCCTGATGTTGGAGTGAGTGAGTGTGTGGAGGTCACACCTTTACCCGGAGCAAGGTGAGGGCTGATGCTAGTGTGAGGTGGTGGATGTTGCCTGATGTTGGAGTGAGTGAGTGTGTGGAGGTCACACCTTTACCCAGAGCGAAGTGAGGGACGATGCTAGTGTGAGATGGTGGATGGTGCCTGATGTTGGAGTGAGTGAGTGTGTGGAGGTCACACCTTTACCCGGAGCGAGGTGAGGGGTGATGCTAGTGTGAGGTGGTGGATGTTGCCTGATGACGTAGGAGATAGGGAAGAGTGAGAGGGAAGACTGTGTTATTTCTACTTTCCATCTTTCAGTGCATGTGTAAATTAGTCGTGTTATGACATAGTTTGAAATCATATTCCAGAAAAAACACATTGAGGAGCAGCTGATGTCCCAGGAGACGACCTCAGGGGGTGTGCAGACCGAACTACAGAATGTCAAGGTACGGAATGCCGCATTGCATAGAGCAGTGGCACTGAGACTAATGTGTGTAGAGTTATAAGATGGACCTCCATTTTCTTCCACACCTGATATCAAACAAACGTCTGAAATGGACATATTGAAAGCTATGACTTTTCTCAATTCCTAGAGGAAGTTATTAGTTAAATTGTCCATCTGGAATTCCATTGGGAGTAAGCAACTTAAATACATGTAGATACCTTTGAAGCGGCAACATGTCGGAGGATTTTGACATATTTTTCTGATGTGTTCCAGCTTCACAATGAGGCTCTGAAAACCCAGATGATGAGGCTGGAGGAGCAGGTGGACGACCTCACAGGTCAGGTGTCCTCTACCAAGGGAGACACTCAGTCCAAGGACAAGCAGGTGAGAGTAATGTAGGCTGTAGCGTGACCTTTGAGGGGATTCTGGATAAGAACAGGTCCCCAGTAACCAATGCTGGGGTGGTCGGTAGCTTGATTATGTGTCAGTTGTCCCTGTTTGTTATTGCTTCTCTTATCAATCAATCAATAGTTGTTTGGACTTCAAGATCATATTTCAAGGTCATCATCATGAAGGAGAAATAGGGTATAAGAGTATCAGGTATAAGATTATGAAAAGGGATTAAAACATCTTTGTTATTGTGAAACAAAGGCTCCTAATTCTTTTTCATGTGTCATTGTACAAAATTGAAATATCAAAGACTTAAGTCAAGGCACAATCGCACAAGTGAGTTTTATTATCTCGACTGACAACATGCAAATATAGAGTGAAGATGACCTGTGTATGTGAGTTCTCATGGGATTATTATCCCCCGCCGTGAAGTGGAGCTCCGTCCTTCCATCCGAGATGATGGGGACAGATTTTCTCAAGAACCGTTATAGATAGGGAAACCAAATGTGGTATGTGTTTTCAGGACACAAATGCCTTGATGGAGTTCGAAAATGGAAACCGTGTTATGATTTTTTACAGAGTTATAGCCCCTTGTCATGCATTTCTTGACTTAGTGCAACTTAGTGCAAGGTATTTTCTCAGAAACTGTTTTAGATAGGGAAACAAAATTTGGTGTGTATTTTCAAGAAATGAATGCCTTGATGGAGTTCGAAGACGGAAACCATGTTACAATTTGTTACAGAGTTATGGCCCCTTGTCATGTGTTTCTTGACATAGTGCACGGTATCCCCAATGGGGGACAGATTTTCACAGAAACCGTTTTAGATAGGGAAACAAAATTTGGTAAGTGTTTTCAGGACATGTCATGGTGGTGTTTAAAAACAAGAACCAAACAGAAACGGACACTGTGGCGGGGGATATTGATGACCATGATTTCCATGACTCTGAACTGGAATGTAGTTGATGAGGTATATTGTATGAACATGTTTTTCTCGCTTCAGTAAACTTTTGTAATACTTATGTTTTTTGGTAATGTTTACACTTTTGTGTTGCATTTAGGTTAAAGACTTACATAAGCAGATTTCTAAATTAGAAGAAAAGAATAAGAAATCAGAGGAACAGTTACAAAAGGTAAGTGCAATGTATTACTGGACAAAGTCCGTGTACACCAGAGATGGATTAAATTGTTTTCAAAACCAGTTAGCATGCTTATCGCAGTGCTGGTAGGTCAGCCTGTCACTGTTGACATGTGTCAGACATTATAGGTACAGTGAAGCCCCGTTAGTCCGGACTCCGATAATCCGGATGTCTCGCCTCCCGGGCGATTTCAGCTTGTTACCAATCTATGCCTATATAATTTGCCTTGATAATCCGGAAATTCGGTTTCCGGAACCGGACGGTAAGTAGCTGTCACCAATCAGTAAAATAAACAGTAAATTGCTTCACAGTCCGGACGCTGTAAGTCGTGTTCACGAACCGTAACAACACCGCCCGGCGATGTTTACTTAAATAACTGGCCAACTGGGTTGTTGTTTTAATTAGACATAAAAAGCTCCCGACTGAAGATACTGTACATTTGGCGCTTTGATTGACACCACAATACAAAGGCGTGGATGACAAGTGAGCTGTTTTGTGATTGGTTAATGTACTTTGACAGACAGATCCGGGTCACGTGGACTAAAAGTGATTTTGCTTTACGACAATGCTGCAAGTCGAAGTGTGCTTCGCTAACTTTGCTAAATGTGACCAAATACCACGCCTCATATTCAACCGATGGATGCAGGAATAATTCGGACATTCAAGGCATACTACAATAGATCGCTTGTTAGACATTACCTCACCTGTGCTGAGGCAGGACGTGATCAGACACGTCAGATCAACATGCGGATGTCACTCGGTAAAATTATTGATGTGATGAATTAAGCTTTACATTAAATGCTTATTTGTTTTATCCAGATTCGTGTCGTTTTTGTAATTCTTAGGGAAGAAACTTGGGTCTTGATTCAGTAGTCCGGACTATTCGCAATCCGGACGAATTTACTGAGAAACGCAACCGTCCGGATTAACGAGGCTTCACTGTACATGTGTCTGTCTTCTGTTGGTCTCAGAAATCAAAGGAACTGAAGGATATGGCGGAAGACACGGATACTCTGAAGGGACAGATCAAGAGCATCTCGGAGCAGGTGAAACAGCTGGAGACGAGGAAACAACAGCTGCTGTCGGAGGCTGATGACTGGAAGGAGAAGTACGTCTCACACCAAGCCTTCTGGCCTTTGTGGTGTTGGGATTTATGTTTTCACTTTCTTGGTTCCTGGATCTGCCTCTGGATTTTGAGAACCATTTGTGCTTGTTCCCCCTGTGATTGTTCACTAATTTCAGTAAAGAAATAAGATGTAATGGCAGGTTTATGATTTGGGCTTATTTTCAAAAAGGACGGATGGGCTTCATTTCCGGGGCACAAGTCGGAAACTGTTCAATATCTTTCTTCAAGACTTAGCAGATATATCAAACAAATCTTGAAGTGGTGCCTTTAGCTGTTTGCAGATTTTGGCATTTTTTTCTTTCTCGGTTTCCATGGAAACAATTTGGACTTAATCTCAAAAGGGAGGGGTAGGCTTTGTTTCCGGAGCACAACTTGAAAACCTTTCTTTATCTTTCAACTAAACTTGATATTTGAGACAGATCCCAAAGTGGTGCCTTTTGCTATTTGCAGATTTTTTGGCATTTCTATTTTTTTCGGTTTCCATTTAAATGATTTGGACTTATTCTCAAAAAGGAGGGGTGGGCTTCATTTGCGGAGCACAAGTTGAAAACAGTTCAATGTCTTTCTACAAAACTTGGCAGATATATCAAACAGATCTTGAAGTGGTGCCTTTTGCTGTTTGCAGATTTTTGGCATATATATTTTTCATGATTTCCATGACCTGAAATCCTTTGTCTGCAGGGTGGAGGATCTGAATGAGAGGCTTCGTCAGAACAAGGAAGAGTTCAAACAGATGCAAGAGACAGTCGCCTTCAAGGACAATGAGATGGAGGTGGGTGTGGTAGAACTTTCACCATGTTATCTTACTCCTGGGGTTAGAGGTCTGCCCGTTATTACTTTATGATCTCCTCCCTCCCTCCCTCCTTCCCTCCCTCGCCTGCCCAGTCACTCACTCACTCACTCACTGCTTTGACATTTGGTCATGTATACTCTTACCGTAATGTACGAAGTGGGTGAGTGATGTTTGAAGAAGGTTGATATTTGCCATTGTTGAGTTGTGAATTCTAGTTATTATGCATGTATGGTATAATTTCACAGATATTTATCTTTCGCATCAACCTGCGCTTGGGTGAAAGAAATCCCACTTTGGGTATCTAATTTGCATGCTTACATGTGATTCATGCCATAAGCTCATGTCACAGATACATGCCATGGTTAAATGCTAAGTACCGTATATGACCATCTATAAGACGACCCCATGGATAAGACGACCCCCATACTTGACCCTTGAAATCAGTGTCAAAATGGTATGTTTCGTGCATAAGTCGATCCCCCGCGATGGGGTCCTAATCGCGGCAAACAGACCACAGACAACTGGCAGTTACCAATAATTATAACTTTGGTCCACATTATTCAAAGAATTCACAGTCATATATATTGTGTCTACTCACGGATCGAAACGAAGTGTAGTTGACAGAAAATGCATAAAGGAGCACCTTTAGAATACAGCACCACAACTTCTCGTGAGGACGATCTCTGCCGTAGGTCACATGCCATTAAGACATGCAACCAGTTTGAGAGAACCCGTCGGACACGAACCCGCGACCTTTGGATTGTTAGCTCGACAGCTAACCGACTGAGCTACGTCCACACTGTTGCACAATGTGCAAATTTATCGAGTCATTCCTGTGACGTCACGGAAATGAACGGAAAGAGTCGAATAGGTCACGGACAATTACGAATGCTACGGGTAGACTTGGTGTCGCGTGATTTTATTCTTCGGACAATTGCCGAATGGATCTGATGCCATTTGGCACACTCGTCCCATTCCGTAATCTACAAATTAACGCGGTGGCGTGGAATGAGCCGATATGCCTCAAACTGAAAAGAGTTGTTGACGCCAGCGCCAGACGATTTCACGGTGCATGCATGAATGACGCGCTTTTATATAAATCGGTGATTTTGTGACAGAAAAGTGATGTAGGGAACACTGTAAGGATAATGTGGATCGCACTAAGGAGCGAGGGAGACATGAGCATGTGCAGTGACGGCACGAGGGTGAGTTAGCCTTCAATCATTACTGAACAAAATTTATGTTGCGTGTGAAATAGGCTTGAGTGCAAATTCCAGGCCAATTTCCATTAGCCCCAAATTTCTACATTAACCCATTTCATAATGTACTTTTCGACGTTTTGGGTTTCCGTTTTTGTGTCAAAAAAGTATTAAAATGCAAAAAAGAAAAACAACAAATGGTACTCACGTATTACACCGGACATGTACCTGCTATATTGGATTAGGTCCCTAACCCTAACCCTAACCCTAACCCTAACCCCTAACCCCTAACCCCTCAGCCCTAACCCTAACCCCTTGAAATAATCCTAATAAATAGAATGCATTGACCGAACCACCGGACATGTACCTACTATATTGCATTAGGACCCTAACCCTAACCCTAAGCCCTAGCCCTAGCCCTAACCCTAACCCTAACCCCAATCCCTTGAATCAATCCTAATAAATAGAATGCACTGACTGAACCGGCACAAACACGACTGACGTGTCTAGTGTAATGCATTATTACCGCTTCGAAAAATAAAATACTAATAAAACACTTTTCTATGTAATGGTGCAAATTACTGAATGACAAAAATATAGATGTAAATTTAAAAAATTACAAAATACAAAATACACAAAACATAACACCTCAGCAGCCCGCAATACAAATAAATATGAGCGTATTAGTGAAAAAAGAAAAATATTTCAAACTGGTGCTTGCAAAATATTGCGCATCCGCCGGTATACAACTACTGGAAACTCTCAACATCGTTGGGCTTATGCAATGACATAGCTCGTAGAAATGAAACACCAGTGAGCGGAGCTTAAACGCACTCGCTGAGCCAGACAACCGTGTTGCCATGCAGGCGTCATAGGGCATTGTATCGAGAACGTGCTTTCGAACAAAATCACATTACATTACGTAAAAGGGTATTATGACGTATTTTTAAAGTTTGTGGTGCTGTATTCTAAAGGTAGGCCTATTTTGCTTCTCTAGATATCATATTTATTGTAGCAAGAAACTGGCTTGCTTATTTTACCCCATTCAACAATCACGAACTGATTACCGCCTCGTTTTCCATTGACTGCTAGTTTACAGTAACATCGGTAAAAATGTGTGAATTTAAATGGCTTCCGTATTTTACCCCATTCCATGTGCGTACAACTTCTGCTTACCACGTTCATGAGGGTCCGTATAACCTTAGTTTTGATTATATATATTTTACATAAAAACTGTAATTAAAATTACACAATGCTAGGATATATTTTGGGGGGTTAAATAATAGTATTCTGTATTATATTTTACTGACGACTGCGTCAGAATTCATCCCGTTATATTTTATTGTGCATGTTTGAACTTGTTCGCCGGGAAACCTGTGCACAGCTGATTGCTATTTCCGGTTCAATTACACACGGTAATCTTAATCTTAATTAATTTATAGAGCAAAAACTGTAACTAAAATTACACAATGCTAGGATATATTTCTTTGGGTTAAATAATAGTGTTCTGTATTATATTTTACTGATGACTGCATCAGAATTCATCCTGTTATATTATATTGTGCATGTTTGTATGTGTCCTACATCCAGGATAAGTATGTGTCCTACATCCAGGATAAGTATGTGTCCTACATCAAGGATAAGTATGTGTCCTACATCCAGGATAAGTATGTGTCCTACAGCCAGGATAAGTATATGTCCCACAGCCAGGATAAGTATATGTCCTACATCCAGGATAAGTATATGTCCTACATCCAGGATAAGTATGTGTCCTACATCCAGGATAAGTATATGTCCTACATCCAGGTTGTGTGTTGCAGGTCCTGAAGGACTGTTTCCGGCAGCTGAAGGTTCTGGAGGGGAATGATGAGGATGAAGGTAACGGCCAACAACGTTTCATTACCTGTGCATGATATCTTTCATGCATCCAGTCATTGCCTTTCTGCATCATTTTCAACTGATTTTACTCTAATTTTATGAGAATTTGTTTGAATGTTAATGGTTAACATGAAGATGCTCTGGTTATTATTTTAGGTGTTACTTTAATCTGTGTGACACCTCTGTATGACATCAGTTTATTATTGCCCTTATGCCAGATGAGTCTTGTGTATTAAGAAAATATCCATGTCAGTGAAATCCGATCCTTTGCCGGGATATGATGCCTTACTGCATGAAGGACATCTCAATAGGAGTTTGTGTCATGTGAACTTTCTGATCAGTATTGAGAAATTTGTTATATGAGTAAAGCAGTCAGATCTGTATTCTTTAAAAATACCTTCTACAGCCTTTCTTAAATATGAGTAATACAGGCCGTTCCATTTTATTGTTATTTATGAACTCAATTGAATCTTCACCCACAAGAGAGAACCACTGAAGAAAGAGTGTTGTTCTTTTATGTGGTTTCTGTTCTTAATATTGAAATTTTGACATTGGAAATCAAATCAAATCAGTTTACCACTCCAGTATTTGATTGGTCCAAATTATTTTGGTCTGTTATACAAGAAAAATGTATGAACCTTAGGTGGAGAAGATCAGTGCTGTTTATATCTTTGTGTTAGTATGTTCTAGGACTTGGACAAGGAAATTGGTTCACAGCTAATTTCTACTAACTCTTCAGTCACGCTCATGAGGACTTGCTGACCTCAAAAGTCATTTTCCAAGAACCATTTGTTTGTAGCAATTCACATTTATCTGTACAATGCATGGTGTTGTATGTTGATGAACTGTTGTATAGGAGTCAGTGATAATGGTGCCATGACTGAACAGAAGATCTGTGCTATATTTTCCATGTATACACGGACAGCCTACACTGTTTCAGTGGACCAGACCCAGGTTGAGGAGAAGATACAGAAGATGATGGATGTCTCTAGAGTAAGCAGCGGTCTAGTTTATGAAAGTGATGCTTTGTCCATTTGTTCAGTATCCCTATTGTTAGGTCTTGCTGTGAGGTTACTGCTAAGCCCTGTTCATCAGGGCCATTGACACATTTCTCAGAACTCCACTCAGCTCAGGAGCAGCGGATAGGTCAGATGAACAAATGGAAACATGTCGAGATATTTTGGCTGATACCACTGTTCAGATGTTTGTGGTTTAAGAATTTTAAATAATGGTCACAGTTTGGGTGTTTAGAGCTTTAAGATGAAAAAATGGAGGTCTCAATAAATGAGTAACAGTTTAACTTCCCTTTTTAAAAAATGTATGCTAGGAAAAGCTTGTATTTGCTCTTTCAAGTGTGCATCGTTTCTACTTTAGGGACAATCTTCCCATAGAAATAAAATATGTATCAATATATGTCTGCAAGCTTTCTGCAAGGAGCTTATACACACTTATTTCGTCTATATATTCTGTACATTGTACATTGGGCCTGCGAACAGCATAGCTGCCAAAGATGCTATGTAAATGAAATATAAGTGCTTTATTAACAGATTGTTGTATATATTATATAGTATAACATTATTTTGAGCGGGATGGTAATTTGAACCAAGATGAGATGACAAACACACATGGAGCCATGTTAATGTGACTTGTTCTCCTGTAAGGTGAATGCATCCCTCCGGGCGTTACAAGACGAGCATGACTCTGTAGAGAACAGACTGCAGATAGAGACAGATGGAAGGAAGGAAGTAGAAGGTACTGACAACACTATGTCTTCTGCCGGACCTTGACAGCATTGATCACACCACTTTCAACTACTAGTTTTCTTGCTTGCTCTTGTGACCTGATATACTTTCTTACTTAGACATTCTTAACTCATTGATCCTCTATCAGGCATGAAAACACTTTTTCCAAACGTGTCCATCAAGGGCATACTATTATTTGTATCAATATGGAGACAACAGTTATGCTCAAGGGCATGTTATATAGTTTGTGAACTGTGTTAATCAAGTATTCAGGAGTGCTGTTGCTGGGATCACAAGTCAATAATCATTACGATGACTGCCATCAGCTGTCACTCTGTCAGTGTTTGGCCGGTGATGGAAATACTTAACTTAACCACCCACATGTTGCGTTAAGCTGTAGTTAGACAGGTAGTTACCCTGCTCCGATAAGAACTCCTGACCAAATTGTAGACCAACCTGTTAGAACATTTTATAAGGCTGACAGTAACAGCAGAATGAAACAGATTTTACAGCACAGATAGCATCCTGAAAGTGTTAGTGCTGCAGCAATGAAAAGTCCATAATTATAACGTAAAGATTCCCTATGGATTATGGTAGCCTTATTCCTGTGGATTCACAGATACATACAGAAAATCAAGTGAAATTTTAAACACTAAGTCATAGCTATTCCTAGTGGTATACCTATCCTAACCCTGAGTTATCTCCCCTGATCCTGACGTCATTGTATTGTTTACCTAGAACCCTTCATATAATTTTTCTGTATGGTCCACACGTAAGACGTGCAGAGAATCAGTGAAATTTACATTTCAATCAAGTCTGAAAGTGTTAGTGCTGCAGCTATGAAAAGTCCATGTTGATGTATTGGATTTGTGACAGTTGTGTCACTAAGACTATTTTGGGTAAAGGTGAATGTAATGTTTTCAGACCAGCTGGAGAAGTGTCGGCGTGACATGGAGACGCTGCAGACAGACAAGATGAAGGCAGACCGGCAGTGCTTGGAGGCTCAGACTAAACTCAACGTATTGTCCAACTACTTCAAGGAGAAGGAAACCCAGCTTCAGAGGTGTGTGGAGGAAAGAGGGAGGTAGTTGAGTGAAGGGAGGTGGTGGAGCCAGGGGAGTAGGGTGACAGGTTGTGTCTAGCTATGAATTCTCATGAAAACATTGCTGATATTCTCCAAAACTATTTCATGAAAATCTCTAGCTCTCATATGTCAGAATTTCATCTTGCATGGAATTCATGAGATGAGATTTTAAAATGGGACCAGTTTCTCTCTGTGTGATACATTATGGTGAATCTCGTCTCCTGTAGTATAGCCAGTTTCTTATGCTTCTTCCTGACAGAGAGCTTGGTGAGCATGAAGCGCTAAAGAAACAGAACGTCAACAAGCTGGAGAACATCGATGAACGTGCTCGTCTGATGGAGGAGGAGGTCGAGATGTACAAGTGAGTCATAACATAGATGTTTTGTATACACAGTTTAGTATGTGGACATTCTTGGCCAGATAGATTGACAATACCCCCTGGCCATTCTGGTACAGAATAGTCCCCAGTATCCATGACTGTCCAAAAAACTGACCTATGAGGGTTGGTTGGTATGTGCTGTTTGTATTTATCATATCCCAGAGGCATGGACTATTACCTAATGCTATTGGCAGCTGGTTTGACCAACTCTGACTCTATAATAACATAGCTAGAATATTGTAGAAGCATAGAAAGTTAACTCACTACCTCATTAGATACCCATGGTTGTCAAGGTGACCGAAGTGGATAAGGCCGCAGAGTCTTGATAGTGCTTGAATATGGTATCTACTATGGTACTGGCTGAGGAGATATCAGTAACCATGGTAACATGTTTTATCATTTCAGAGCACAGGCAGAAGGATTGAAGAGGGAGCTGGCATCCTCCGAGAGAGATTTCAGACAGCAGGTAATGTTAATCATGAACTAGTGATCATTTAAAGATTTAACAACACTTTTGGATTAATTGCTAGATTAGTCGTTAAAATGTTCTCTTTTCACAGCAAAGCCTCAGGCTTGTGTTTGAGTAAATTTGTTAGTACTATGGAAATGCATGATGGTATATAGAGAGCAATATTTAACAAGACTGAAGTTCAAGCAAGTGTATTGTTCAGACTAGTGTGGTGCGAGATGCAAGAATATATCTGTTAGAATCACAAGTATGTATTCTTCAATTTTCAGATTTCTGCAAATGAGAAAAAGGCTCATGAAAACTGGGTATGTGTTCTGTCTTTGTGCATTTGCAATAAGAAGCACGTCATGAAGGTGCCAAACAGTTGTGTCTATGTGATGTATATATGATAGACCCGATAAAACTCTGGTGACTGAAATGCCTATGGAATTTTTGTTATATGTACATTATATCATGGTGGATGTACATTTTTGGGTATTGAACTGTTTGTTGAGTTTGTTAACATTGTTTCCAGTTAGCAGCCCGAGCTGCAGAGAGAGAGCTGAAGGAGGTCCGCCATGATGCCGGGGTGTTACGTCAGAAGTGAGTAGAAATATACTGTATTTAAACATGGTTGTGATTAGTGATCGATATATCTGTCACACTGCAGATGTTGAAAGTACTAAATCTAGGACACATATGATTATATATTGAGAGCTGCTGTAGGGGAAAGCTTGAAGTACCTGCACATTTCATGGATAAATTTGTTACATACTGTGAATGAGAATATAACTTCCAGTTTGCTGTGTGGAGTTGTGTCCCCTTGGACATGCCAGAAACCTATGAATTTGAGTTTGAATCCCAGTTCACCCTGATTAGGTTTCTTGGTTTGTCAGTACCATACCCATGGTTTTACCAAAGTGGTAGACGACAGAGACCTTACCACAGTAAGCTGACTAGTCAGAACTGGGAAATTGTTCATAACGGTGTTCAACCAAACTCACTCACTGTATGTATACTGGTAGATCAAAGTCACAGTTCTCAAACATATGCAGAGTTGCATCCCTTTGCTGCAGGCTTTATTTGCTGGTTTTAATCCCAGGTTGGTCGCTACTCTACTGACTCTCTTTGGGATTTCTTCCTATGTTTAGCTCACATCCTGATATATCAGAAGTTCTGTTCAATGCAGTATTAGTCCCACCATGCTCAGCCCAGATGGTGATGTGACATGAATGTTGTAGGTTGACAGAGCTGGAGCGGCGACAGATGATGGGACCAGGGGGTTTGATACGCCCCCTGCCGACACGAGGCATGCCACCCCCAGGTAACTGCTGCAGCACTATTATAGTATGATATACCCGGTACTCACAATTTTTGTCTGTTGCAGAAAATACATTGTATTATTCAACTTCTATGTTGCCCATGACAATAGGTACATATTTATGTGGTTCAGAATCAATTATTGAAGGCTTCTGTGATCCTCTGAAACACTTTCATTAAATATCAAACAAATAGATATAAGTCGAGAATGTGTTCTAGAGGGTATTGCTTCAACTAGTGAAGGTTGCTAACACTGACATAATGGTTCCAGGCATGATGAATGGCCCCCCTTCCCCTCCCGGCATGGAGAGGTCCCCATCAAGAGGTTCTATACCCCCTCCTCACCTCAGGTAAGTAGAGAACTGTCACACCTTACATGTGCACCTGTTTATGTCTTTAGTAACATGGACTAAACAAGAACCAGAAGTTAGTTATTATGAAAATCTTCAGAAGGAAGTTAAGCCCTCACTTGAGTGTTCAAAGAAACGTTGGCCTCTTATTAAACTTGTTGACAATTTGACTTTCAGGGATGATGACTTCCGTGGATCTCCTCATGACAGACTCCCTCCCCCTCCAGATCGACGCCCTCCACCCCCAGGTGCCAGGTTACCTCCCCACATGCCCCCAGATGGCAGATCCCCACCCCCTGGTCGGATGATACAGGAAGGCAGGTCCCCACCCCCGTTTGACCGACGTCCCCCTCATCCTATGGACAGGAGGACCCCACCCTACAGACCACCACCCCGGACATGATGCCTGGTCCTCGAGGTCCCCACCTCCCTTCAGTCCTAATTCCCCACCCCCAAGGATGCCTCCCCCTCATTTAATGGACCCAAGGATGGGTAAGTACCTTTGTTCTGCTTAAAATTGTCTTTAGAGGTTTGTCAAACTTACAATTGTCTTGAAGTAAAACTTAGCTCCCTATATATTAATTCTCAATTCATCATGTTTCGGTTGGGTCAAATCTCTGATACCTCGAAGTATTGATGTAGATCCCTTCAACTTCGACACAACCATTCTATTATGATTATGATTCCCTGTACTCATTCTCTGTCTCTGCCTTAATTATTATTATTCAAATGAGTCAATGTTCAAAATTGGGTCCAAACACACTCATGAGCAAGGTATATTCTGTTATTAAGCAAGATGGAGACATCACTAGCTGTACATGCCGTACACTAGTCCAGGTTATATATGTTAGAATGGAGATAAAATACACTGAAAATACAAAAAAATATTCTTTGCCATCGTGCTGGAATGACACTACTCACACAGTCATAGAACAGTAAGTAAACTGTCATATCATGCTCTTCATATTATATTTTCTTATTATGTATTATATCTTACTATCCCTAGGCCCAAGAACATCTTCTCCTAATGTACGCCCCCCAACCCCAAGCCGTGATGGTAGACCGCCAAGACAGCACAGCCAAGTATGAAGACACACCCCTCCTGACTGTCAGTCACCCAGAGTGGGCGGGCTCACTGCAATATGTTGTCCAATGTGTGAAAGGGAATGTGAATGAGTGACCAATCAGAGCCACACAGGGCATGATGTTGAAGACAGTGTGTCTACTCACTGCCATAAGCTCATTTTAGAGTTGTTACTTGTTGATTTTCATTTTAGCTACATAAATCGAATGGTGATTGTATATTTCATCGTAAAGAACATTGAAAACTAAGAATGACATTCATTGAGGAAGAAGGATTCTTTTCTTTCAAGAAAGTGGAAGTTTCTAATTATGTTCATTGCTGTGATTACCTGTCCACAACCATATTACATTGTCACATTTACTGACTCAGTTTTCTGGGAAAAATCTTGTAATATAGTTATTCTGTCTACATTTGTTTGTGATGATAATGGTAGAATTTCTTCCAGTTACTTGTCACTTATTATTTGAGTATTGAGAAAAGCCATATCTAAGATTGAGATACAGAGCTTGATGATTAATGGAGTTTAAGCTGTGCATGACTCCGACCTGAATGAATTGGAGTGTGAGGTAACAACTGCAACAGTGAAGAAATTGGTAGACCATGAACACATGAAACCCTATATGGATAACAACTGGGCTACTGTCTGATCTTCATCACGTGATGAAGCAGCCCTTGGAAACTTACAAACAACGATGTCAAAATGTTTCAGGTTGTTATGGTAACGGCATTGCCCAGTATGCTCCCATTATGGTCTGTCATGTCATAGGCCGGCTGTGTATAAGCAATCTGATCATAGCTGAGGTTGGTGTGGAAACTGAGCTGTCATGGAGCTTTTCTCCATATTTGTGAACAGATGATCAAAATGGAACTCATATTTGGGGGTTCGATGAAATAAAGTGGCTGAAATTGAAATGCTCATTCATCTCAGCTGTTGATGACAGAGGTGTTGATGTAAAAGAAAAGTAGGACTGACATTTTTTCACTGTTTGCGCACATTCTGTGACTGTTTTTATAGGAATTCTTGAAAGTAATACCTACAGTAGTAAGGTACTTTAGTTTGGGTGCAGCCATCTTAACACGCAGAATGTGCACCAGTTGTGGTTAAATACTGTATGGTGTTGAAATTTCATATTACTTCACGTAAAGGCAGTTGGTGTCAAGTTTATATGGAGAAAAAACAAACTTACAATCCTGAGAGAATTCTGATTGACAGTTTAGGTTGGAAACCATCTCAGCGTGATCAGTATTCATATCGGCGACAGTGGATGGAGGGAGAGCTCATATGCCATGTTTACAGCCGAGGTAACTCTGTCTGTGTATACTACAATGTCCTAGTGTATGATCAAAGCCAAACCACTGTTGATATATGACATTATTTATTCTGTATACTCCTGTTACAGTAGGCCTGAATGTCTCAGTGTAACGCAGGTAGTGTGTTGAAATTGTTGCCATTATCTCTTGAATGGGAAATCACAAGCTGAATATACCACTAGTCATTTCTTACAGCAAATCATTGCCATGTTCGTATGTGCTAGCCTTAAAGGTCCTAGATCCTGTTCCACAAAGTGATCGTAAAGCTAAGATGATTGTAACAACCATACTTTAACATTGACTTACGACAGTCGTAGCGCTACAATCGCTTTGAGTAACAGGGCCCTGTACAACATGTATACACATTGTCCTGGTGCCATAACTCAGTCAGCTTTGATTATCAAGTGTATCTCATCTCCAGTTTATTATCATATATATCAAGGGCATATTTTCACCAAATCTTCATTTGAGTCTGGGGCTGGTGAGGTAGCCTAGTGGTTAATTGGCTCATCACGACCGAAGGTCCAGGTTCGATTCCCCACATGGGTACAATGAGTGCAGCACATTTCTGGTGTCCCCCGTCTTGATATTGTTGGAATATTGCTAAAAGCGGCACAAAACCCAAGTCACTCACTCAATCATTTGAATCTGGTTCAAAATCTCACTCCATATACGTGCCTCAGAGGAAAACTGTTAAAAGTTTGTGATTAGAGACTTGAATATGGTGACAAAACGTTCTTAATAAATCTATAGTTTTCAATGGGTCCAGAGTGTATATTGTAATAAAATGGAGATATTATTCACTGAGATAGGAGAATAATACATTGTTGACTTCCTTTGAGGACATTATCTCAGTTCACATGTGCTATTAACTGTAAGAATCACTTTTGTCAAATACTTTTCTGTAAACTGGTGCTATCATACTTTAGATAATAAGAATTGAGAACATTGACAACCATTTGCACAAAATTAACTGAAACATTCACATCACATAAGAATATTTCAAAGTTGTGAGTTTAGTGCCATGGCTAATGGTTTCCTGGTATAGTTCTAAGCTGGTGAGGGCATGACCTTTATGGTTTGAAAATACAGTATTTGATTGTACCAATTATAAATATGATATTGAATAAATATAATAAATGTAGAATGAGTGTTGTACTGTTTTGACATGTTAATAAAATTCATTTTGATGTAAATTTTTCATTAATTATATGTAAATATCAGGTTTTGTTTGTAAATATGAAAGGAGAGTTCCACGTTTAACATATTCTGGTAGAAAGTCCTCTATGTCGATTTTGATGTTTTTATTTATCACATATTTTGTGCGTATTGTGAGAAGAAAAATAAGAAACATTATTTCCAGAGCATCACAATTTCAGATTTTGTCTTTCACCAAAATGATATTTGATTTTTGAGAAGGGTATATAGTTGATTTCATATTGATCCTGTAATATTTACAAAAGACCAAAGATATTTTTCTTTAAAATTTAAGGCACTTGTTACTTAGAGCACAGGTGTGGCTATCTGCATCAGTCTAAAACATTGATGGGTCCCCAAGTGAAAGCAGGATTATTCTTTGTCTGAAAAACAACCTTAAAATCAGAATTTTAGCAACCATTTTTGAAACATTCAAAACAGAAATAGCTAGCATACTTTATTGGGTTCAAATGTTCTGCAGTTTGGTAGCAGACCTATATACATTTTGTACCTGCTTAAACAGCTGGTTTCTATGCTGAGTGAATTTAACAAAGCCGCATGTTTACAACTGGAACAAACACTTTTAAAATTGTAATTTTGTTTGGTGCATTTTGTGGAAAAACTAGACATTTTGGGGTAATATGGTTAGATCATCAATGTATTGATGATGAAAATATCAGTGAATAAATACATTGTACTCTAAACAATGAAAGAGGTTTTCACAATTTGAAGAATTGTAGATAGTTTGATCATTGGTTGCTTAACTTTTTACAATCAGTATACATGGTCTGTGTTGCATCATTAATCTTAACATGCTCAGTAACAGATCTGCTTATCAAGCAGTTTGCAAGAGGTCTGTGGGGTTAAAGCATTTAATATCAGGTGACAGACATCCCACTGGAATGATGCCTTGCACCAAGAGTAAAATCTGTATTGTCTCTGTTCCCAAAATGTTTAATGATGCTGAGGAACTTCTGACTAAGTGACATGATCTGTTTCAAACATCCTGTTGAAAACATTTGACATGAAACATTGTATGGACAACTGCATATCTTACAGGTTTCTCTTATGTTTCTGTAAATGATGCTAAGGACTTTTAGACTCGAAAGATGATAACCAGATATTCCTGAATTAAACATGTAAATTTCATACCTAATTATCAAATATCATGATATTGATTTTTTTACAAGTGAGTATAAAAACCCTTCACATTGTCGCTCTTAAAAATGAATCATGTTTTGTAATTAACAAAAATTGATTAATTAGTTGAAACTCTCAGAACAGCTATCATGTGCTAATTGACATTTTCTTTATGATTGTTAAGATCCAGTGTTTCACCAGTTCCTCTATGAACATAACTAAATGGTTTTAGCCAGAAAGTGTAAAAAAAAACCCTGTATTCTCGCTCGTTACGATTATCTTTAAATATATATATATAGAATATTTCCAGATGTTTTATACCTTTGAGTACATATAACAGATTAAGACACTGCAATAGTGCAGGGACTGTAGGCCTTTCTTTCAGTCACATTAATTCTACATTTGTCCTTGTAAATATTCTAGTGACAAGTTACATATACTACTACTTTCGTGCTTTACTGAATTCTCTATCATATACTGTGATGCCCCTCTTGTCCTGACTTATAGTTGTGTGTGACAGCTGCCTACATGATTACACAATCTGGCTACAGCTGTCCCGAAACCAGAACTTCATTTATACGGTCTAATTGACCAAGTCTGGATAAGTGGGGTGGCACTGTATTGATTGGCAGTGTGTTAAGTATCTAGTCTGAGTGTTGGTTGTATCAGCCCAGTGGTGTCAGTCTTGTGTCATATCTGTACATAATCATCTCATGTCATTAAACAATTACATTTTAAAATATGAATAAGTTTGTTGTTTATGTGAAGTAGAAGAGAGAGGGTGACTCAATATTGGCGTGAACGTTGTGTTCAATTTATTGCGCTGGTACAGTGACGTGTTTACTTGTGCTAGATGGGATTGGTGCCTGTTTTATAGAGCTTGACAACTGGGACACCATGTTTAATATGGATACCCCACTCCGACACAGGCAAGGTAACTACAAGCACCATCTGTATCTATGGGTATGTGGAGGTCAGGGATCAAAGCACCCACTTTCCACTAGACCATGGACGCAGCCAGGGCAGGTCGATTTGACTGACTGACTGAGTTTGGTTTTACGCCGCTTTTAGCAATATTCCAGCAACATCACGGCGGGGGACACCAGAAATGGGCTTCACACATTGTGCCCATGTGGGGATTCAAACCCGGGTCTTCGGCGTGACGAGCCAACGCTTTAACCATTAGGCTACCCCACAGCCCCGCAGGTCGATTTGAGCCAGTTGGAACTGAGTGCAGCACTTCCAATTATTAAGAAAAGTGAGGCATGTGGATATCACAATTAGGTGTATCTTGGTTGTCAACATGCGGCTGCTTCAGCTTTTATTGCTATATAACAAATCAAGGAAGAAAAGTTTAAAAAGTTTTATAAAACTAAACTATCAGCTTTTATTGCAATAATGTATATAACAAATCAAGGAAGAAAAGTTGAGAAAAATCAGTTTTATAAATATATTCAAAATTGTCACATACAAGACAGTGAGCCATTTTGGGGTTGTTACATCTTTAAAATGTAAAATCATGTGGGGAATTGAACCGGGTCTTTTTCAAAAGTTAACAAAGTACCCCACCGCCACAGCTGTGAATCAACATCATTCATACCACCAGGATGTTAATGTTGGACATAGACATCCTTGTTCAACACACACCAACAAACAAAGTGATGAATGAGAGGTGAGATGAAAGAGTCCTCCAGTCAGTAGAGACCCATCTATGAGTCGTGGAGTGAGTTTTTTAACACAGGCTTTTATGTCATAGCTAAGATTTAGCAATATTCAATTTACGCGTCTGTAAATAATCGAGTCTGGACCAAAGACAATCCAGTGATCAACACATGACTGATTTTGATATCCAGTGGCATAGACTTCACAGTATAAAAACTAGCATTCATTTACCTTTGCTTCAACAAGGAAGCTCCCACGGATGACACATGAATTTCAAATATGCAAAATCCATTTAACAATAATTGCACAAATCTGTTCACTAAAACATAACAATAAACATGAGTGTGTAGCACCTGCATGTACAGAGCAGATTAAAAGTTCTATGTGGGATATAGATCTGAATTCCTTCATTGTGAGTGTGGAGGCTTTATATTTTCTGCCCATAAGTAACCATAACTCTTACGATATTGAAATAAACAGCATTAGTATTGTATGTAATCACAAGAAAGATTGGTGTATTGCTGTTGGTTCCCCACTATTGACCGGCTTTCTCGTGATGAATGGTGTCTGTAGGTTACGTCTCAAATCTGACGGTATCAGTCTTTTATCCCACATCAAACTTTCGAACTGCTCTCGTTCTATACACATTTATACATATTGTCAACATACAGAGAAGAAAGTCTGTTGTTCCTCTTCCAACAATAGTTATACTCAAAGGTAATAGTAACTGTGACTTACTTATTCACAATCTATCCATCTATCTGTATAACAACACAGCTGAGGTCCTTGTACTTGAGACAACATATACCCAAGGTCAAGGCAAACTGACATTTGGTCTCTGAAAATTGAAAGTTTTGATAGGAACAAATAAATCTATTTCAATTGAAATGTATCGTCAGTGATATGTGAGATTCAGATGGAAATCTATCTTGCATCATTTAGAGCTACTACATTACAGAAAGGGCTGGGCAGAAGGGAAAATAATATAGTTCAGGGTCTACAAGACAGACTAGGTGTACAGGCTTGAAATTTGTTGTCAAGATAACCACCAACTGGTCCAAAACAAACCGATAAGACCTACAGTCCCTGTATCACCCCTAGAATAGACATCATAGTTGGTACCCCTGTTAGGAGTCAAACCTTTAGAGTGTTGGACACTTTGACTACAGAGCTAACCCTACTGGCTTGATATGATTACAGGACATACAACAGACACTCAAGTAGGAAGACTTGTTTGTTGTGTAACGCTACACTCAGCAGTATTCCGGACATATGGCAGCGGTCTGTAAATAATCGAGTCTGGACCATACAATAAAGTGATCAACATTATGCGCATAGATCTACCCAATTGGGATACGATGACACGTGTCAACCAAGTCAGCGAGCCTGACCACCTTATCCCGATAGTCACCTTTCATGACAAGCATGGGTTGCTGAAAAGTAATTCTAACCCTGATCTTCATTGGTTTACATTGGCATAGGACATACATGATATCATTTGGCTGCTGTCATGCTTCAATACAACAGAGTTGTGTGACTGTTTACATGAGGATGTGTATAACAAAGTACATTATAACAGGTGTGACACATCGTCAGTATTCTGCAGGTGTCTATACAATATGTTCATCCACCAACCGTGAAAACCTGCTGCTCTTCAGTGTAGTTTCTATTTTTAACCAACACATCAAACCATAGCTTGGTTCTTGGCATCAACATCAGGCAAAGACTGAATTTCATCGGCGGATCCAGACAGGGGTGCAGGGGTGTGCACCCCACTTTTGTCCTGAACATTTATTAAATGACCATTGAAAACTGATGGAATTGAAGTGTGCACACACACACCCCTTCTCAAGAGTATGCACCCCCCTTTCTGAAGAAGCTGTGTCCACCTCTGAATTTACACAAGGTTCAGTCACAGACTAGTTAAACACAGCCTCATACCATTAGCTGACTTACAACAGACACTCTCCACTACTACATCACATTTCAGCTGTATGGACTCAAGGGTGAGGGATGAACATGGTGTATACAAACCTGTGATGTAGACACTAAGAGGATAAAACAAACATGTGGTCCAGCCATGTCATACAATTAAAATACACACATAGTCAATAATTTAATACCATAATGCATGAAAATGAATAATAAATTAAAAACATTAATGAGTTAGCAGGGTTTAATGTTGCTTTGAATTTTGTTTCAGTAATAACATGGTGAGTTTTATTTGGGAGGGAAGCTCAAAGTGATGCATGTCTCAGATCTTTACCACTTTGTTGTAACCCACAGACAACTGGGATTCTAACCAGTCATAAGTTTCTTGCATGACCAGCGTCCGCCCAAGGAGCGGAAGGTCATGGGTTCAATCCCCGACCGCGTCATACCAAAAGACGTTAAAATATGGTACTTGTTGGTCCCTGCCTGGTGCTCAGCAATAATGGGTACAACAAGGACTGGTCGGCTCGGAGTCAGTATAATGTGTCTGAGTAGGGTATTCATGCTTCACTGCGGCATGGTATCTCAGTGGGCTAGCACTATAAAACCAGCTTAAGTCTGGGCTAGTACAAGCAGCCGCACATACACATACACACGCATGCACGGCGTGAAATGAGCAAAATATTCTCAAGCACGATGTTAAACCCAATTTCACCTCACCTTCTTGCATGACCAAGGGGCACAACTCTGCACAGCAAAAATCGAGCACCTTTGACGCCTCTCCCTCCCATAACCCCATATGACAAGAACATATAGTATCCAATGTTAAGTGTACAATATGTAAAGATACATCCTCCAAGCTCAGTGACACCTGTGTTGTTCTGTATCCAGACAGAGGTGTCACTGTTTGCCTTGTGGAAGGATATGCAGGCACTTGTCAGTATATCATAGATGAACAGTCTCTAACAGTGCATTGCATACTTTTCCCTGGCTTGACAACGAAGTTCATTCTGTTTCAACCCACTGCCCAACACATGCAGAATCATGCCAAAGGGTCACCTTGATTTTAAAAGAGAAAAATTTACAAATCCACTTCATTATGTGAAGCAAAAGAGTAATCAGATACCCACATTTCATCTAAAAGCCATTAATAAATATTGAAATCAAATAAATATTGAAATCAATTATTACTTCTGTATTAAAAAAACAACCTAAAAGTAGGTTGTAACCCTTTCTCGACTAATTCAACATATTAAAAGGGAATAAATAAATTCAGACCCACGCAGTTGTCTTGCTTTCAACTTACTCAAGGTAAACAGTAAACCATTACTAGATCTGCAGGCTGTTGACATGTATTGTCTTGACATGTGTCTCATGCCCTGTCAGCAGACACATCAGCATTCGTTTGTATGCATCTTCAGTAATTGCTATCTGTCCATGCATGTAATCTGTCAAGTGGTCATGAGATCAACCATCACCAGTAACAGCTATTCACCACATAATCCGCCTTGCAACAACACATACGTCCTGTTGAGTACAACATCATCACTAATATACTCATCTACCATCACCGGCAACAACGATTCCTCGCACAGACAGCTGTGCTTGAACATGTACAGACACTTGAGTACAACATCTTCATGAATGTACACTTCTACCATCTCCGGCACCAACCATTCACCACACAGCCATTCTTGCTACAACATGCACACACACATGAGTACAACTTCATGGTAAATGTACTCATCTACCATCACCGACAACGATTCATCGCACAGCCATCTGTGCTACAACACGTATGCCCTGTTGAGCACAACTTCAACATGTGTGTCGGAATCTCTGTACAGATCCAGGACCACCAGGAACCGCTGACTGCCATAGTTCTCCGCCGAGTGTAGGAGCTGGCGGACATTCAGTACAGACACTTCCGATCCTTCCTCGTTTGTTTCTGTGTCGTACTTCCCTTCTAAGAAATCAGCAAAGTCTGTACGCTTTGGGAAATCAACATAGCTAACGTCTCTCAGAGAATGTAATAGAACATGAGTATTGAGGCCTTGCCAAGTTGTAACGAACATTTCCTCAGATTCCTGGAATCTTGGCCCTGGAATGACATAATATTTATAGAAACAACACAAATATATATCTCTTTCATTCAGGTGAGCCTAAATCAGTAATACAAAGATACAAATATTTGGTTTGGGTTTAACACTGAACTAAGCAATATTCCAGCTATATATACAAAATATTTTGCTTAAAACAAATTTACACTACCAAACGAATGGACTGAAACATGAAGACTGGAATCTTCCGGAACTACAGGTACAAACCTCCAACTTCTGGCTTTGGCTGGTCAGTAGGTGGGAGGTTGATCCAGGTCAGTTTGTCTCCCCTGTTATAATATACCGGACACAGATGACTGTCGGACACCTCGTGGTCACCCACAGAATCAAAACGGTCAATGTTCTGATGCGTGTCAGCATTGACAACTGTTTCCAAAGGGTTACCTTTCTGCAGAGAAGAAAGTATCCATGAGACAGCACCACAGCTTCACCAGCTTGATAGAGAACTCTTTCATGATTATTGTTTTGTTTGTTGTAAAATGCTGCACTCAGCAATATTTGAGGTGAGGTGAAATTGGGTTTTACGCCGTGCTTGAGAATATTTCGCTCATATGACGACGTGCATGCGTGTGTATGTGTATGTGCGGCTGCTTGTACTAGCCCAGACTTAAGCTGGTTTTATAGTGCTAGCCCACTGAGATACCATGCCGCAGTGAAGCATGAATACCCCACTCAGACACATTATGCGGACTCCGAGCCGACCAGTCCTTGTTGTACCCATTAACAAGTACCATATTTTAACGTCTTTTGGTATGACGCGGTCGGGGATCGAACTCGCGACCTTCCGCTCTCCGGGCAGACGCTCTAACCACTACACCACGGAGGCAGCAATATTTGAGCAACATGATGGTGGTCTGTATATATTCAAGTCTGGAACGTACAATCAGGAGATCAACAGCATGAGCATTGATCTATGCAATTGGGATATGATGACATGTGTCAACCAAGTCAACCTGACCAGCGAACCCCATTAGTCACCTCTTACGACAAGCATGCTGAAGATGAATTTAAACCAGATCTTCATGAGTAACCACTTATTCAAATCAAATAAATGAATGAGTGAATGGGGTTTAATGACAGTCAGTCAGAGATGGGGGTTGGTGCGTGAGTTGGGTCACTGTATTTCAGTTGTCCCTGCACGTCAGCTTGATATGGAAGGTTTGTTTGTTGTTAACTCCACACTCGGCAATATTCCGCTACATAGCCGCTGATGTGGAAGGAGACGCTAGGGTGATCTAGGACTTTGAAATCTACAACTGTGGTGGAACCATAACAAGCAAAGGTATTGTGATGACAAATTTAGCACAAATGTAGTTGAACCCATAAAGGGATATAACTCTGAGGCAGCTCAGATGAATGAGCGAGCCATGCTCCCTTGCAAATAGGCATGGCAAATGTGATCAGTAGTGTAAATGTGATTACATGAATGCTGTATGTTTAGATGACATCCAATCAGCTGTGTCACAAAATCAGATTTCTCTCAGCTGACACCAGATTTTATCCCTTTACTGTACAAAACATAACACTTTTAAAGGTCTTTACAAACCTGTTTTTTCTTTTTTTTTACCTGAGCCATTGTTCTGAAATGAAACAGGAGAATATACATTGAGTCTAACAAACTGCAACATGTATACTTTCGGAACACATGGAAACAATTACACTGACTGACTGAGTTTGGTTTTACACCGCTTTTAGCAATATGCCAGCAACATCACGGCGAGGGACACCAGAAATGGGCTTCACACATTGTACCCATGTGGGGATTCGAACCCGGGTTTTCGGCGTGACGAGACAACGCTTTAACCACTAGGCTACCCCACCGCCCCTGGAAACAATTACATGAAGGCTGAAATATAAATAACGATGATTAACAGGCAATGATTGTTACAGAAATGATGTGTGCAATTCAGAAAAAGGCATTCTTATCGTAATAAATTATTCATATGAGTCAAGAAAGAAATAGTCCTACTGACGTTTCCAGCCCATGGAACTTGAGAGCAGCTAACTTAGCCTGCACATAGAGTCGTATATGTTGCATGAAGCTGGACCTCTCCAGTGTTTCTCTCCACGCACTGCATGGAGTGATCTGAAACATCAGTACAATCTTCATCCACACATACATCATGCAGAACTCATGTATCATGTGAAATACACTATGTCAATGACATGCCAGAAGTTATCCTTGAGTTCTACAAAAGTTAAATTCTTCATGTGAACTGCTCTCCAACATTTACTATTACATCAGTGATCTGCAATTTACCGATATACTATGATGTTGAGAACTGATCTTAACATTTACTGTTATATCAGTGATCTGCAATTTACCGATATACTATGGTGTTGAGAACTGATCTTAACATTTACTGTTATATCAGTGATCTGCAATTTACCGATATACTATGGTGTTGAGAACTGATCTTAACATTTACTGTTATATCAGTGATCTGCAATTTACCGATATACTATGGTGTTGAGAACTGATCTTAACATTTACTGTTATATCAGTGATCTGCAATTTACCGATATACTATGGTGTTGAGAACTGATCTTAACATTTACTGTTATATCAGTGATCTGCAATTTACCGATATACTATGGTGTTGAGAACTGATCTTAAAGGTCACATGCAACGTAAAACACAACTTTGCAGATTCTGATACCTTTCGGTATGGACTTACCGAAAAAAAGTGTCAAAAATGCAAATTCAACTTATAAAGTTGAAAAACAACGCGATGAAAAAAAATGTGCGAAATCGGAGTTCAAACGTTTCACTAATTTTCCCCAGACTTTTCTGGGGAATACGGGTTTCAACAGCTGGCTGCGCGCTCATAGCACGTCTTGAGTGAAATAGGTTCCTTAACTTGGAAGCGGGCTGTCTGATGAATATACCGGTGAAGGCTTTGGTGTGAGCTAGTTTCATAATGTTTTGTTGATATCTCACATGCGCTTGAGCTTTTTGTATGTTATGACAGTAAATAAACTGTTTATATAATTTCATTTGTCTATTTCACCACACGTTCTTCTTACCGAGTCACTTTCTCAGTTCGATGCTTAAAAGCAATGTCATTATTTAGAGTTGACCACGATTTCTAACTGTGATATAGATATGTCGCTATCACAGACAAAACTCAATGTCTTGTTTTATTGACACCAGTGTGTCTGCCTGCCTGTCTGCTAATGACAATATTCAATACACAACTGCGATCACTGACCACATGCAATTTGAACTTAACACCAATCAGGCTATACACCATAAACAAAACGCTGTTGATTTATGGCCCGAGTTCGGTCTCTGTCACATTATGTAATTACACAGACAGGCAGGTGTGATACTTGAACACATGACATGTTATGATGTCTGTTGATTGCAAAATGTTATACACAAAAATGAGGATGTATTTACAAAACCCAACTTTTCTATATATACACACACAATGACCCGCGAAGGCGGCATCTGCTAATGAACCAGCCGTTACACTTGAGTGCACACCCACCCGCTCTGACTGGGTTCGGTATCCTGGCTGCTTCGTTTCGAGGGAGGTAAACCCAAGTACAAAATATTGCACTTTTGATTTGCGATTATACGCTTATAATTTTGTTTATTTGTTTTTTCATAATCAGCAATGCATATTATATGTCATGAAGAAGTGATAATTGTGTTTTAATTATGTTTGATTTTTTGGTTGCATATGACCTTTAACATTTACTGTTATATCAGTGATCTGCAATTTACCGATATACTATGGTGTTGAGAACTGATTTTAACATTTACTGTTATATCAGTGATCTGCAATTTACTGATATACTATGGTGTTGAGAACTGATCTTAACATTTACTGTTATATCAGTGATCTGCAATTTACCGATATACTATGGTGTTGAGAACTGATTTTAACATTTACTGTTATATCAGTGATCTGCAATTTACCGATATACTATGGTGTTGAGAACTGATCTTAACATTTACTGTTATATCAGTGATCTGCAATTTACCGATATACTATGGTGTTGAGAACTGATTTTAACATTTACTGTTATATCAGTGATCTGCAATTTACCGATATACTATGGTGTTGAGAACTGATCTTAACATTTACTGTTATATCAGTGATCTGCAATTTACCGATATACCATGATGTTGAGAACTGATCTTAACATTTACTGTTATATCAGTGATCTGCAATTTACCGATATACTATGGTGTTGAGAACTGATTTTAACATTTACTGTTATATCAGTGATCTGCAATTTACCGATATACTATGGTGTTGAGAACTGATTTTAACATTTACTGTTATATCAGTGATCTGCAATTTACCGATATACTATTGTGTTGAGAACTTATCTCCAACATTTACTGTTACATCAGTGATCTGCAATTTACCGATATACCATGATGTTGAGAACTGATCTTAACATTTACTGTTATATCAGTGATCTGCAATTTACCGATATACTATGGTGTTGAGAACTGATCTTAACATTTACTGTTATATCAGTGATCTGCAATTTACCGATATACTATGGTGTTGAGAACTGATTTTAACATTTACTGTTTATATCAGTGATCTGCAATTTACCGATATACTATGGTGTTGAGAACTTGATCTCCAACATTTACTGTTATATCAGTGATCTGCAATTTACCGATATACTATGATGTTGAGAACTGATCTTAACATTTACTGTTATATCAGTGATCTGAACTTATGATGTTGAGAACTGATCTTAACATTTACTGTTATATCAGTGATCTGCAATTTACCGATATACCATGATGTTGAGAACTGATGAACATTTACTGTTATTCAGTGATCTGTTATATCAGTGATCTGCTTAACATTTACTGTTATATCAGTACTATGGTGTTGAGAACTGATTTTAACATTTACTGTTATATCAGTGATCTGCAATTTACCGATATACTATGGTGTTGAGAACTATTGTTATATCAGTGTTGAGAACTTATCTCCAACATTTACTGTTACATCAGTGATCTGCAATTTACCGATATACTATCGTGTTGAGAACTTATCTCCAACATTTACTGTTACATCAGTGATCTGCAATTTACCGATATACTATTGTGTTGAGAACTTATCTCCAACATTTACTGTTACATCAGTGATCTGCAATTTACCGATATACTATCGTGTTGAGAACTTATCTCCAACATTTACTGTTACATCAGTGATCTGCAATTTACCGATATACTATTGTGTTGAGAACTTATCTCCAACATTTACTGTTATATCAGTGATCTGCACTTTACCTATATACTATGGTGTTGAGAACTGATATTACATTTACAGTTATATCATACCGTGATGTTTGGGTACTGAGACTTGAACTCAGCGAAACTGTGAGGTAATGGGGGATAGGAGAAGTAGCCACCCACGGACATGTCCAGCTCCATGTCACTGAGACGGCGAGTCAGGTTGATCATCCACGCTCTGACGGACGGGGACAAGGCATGTTGGGATGACACACACTGGAAACAATGGAAGCAGTCAGAGACTTTATAATCGCAAATAGAAGTTTGTTTTAGTTTTTACTGACTGACTGAGTTAAGTTTTACGCCGCTTTTAGCAATATTCCAGCAATATCACGGCGGGGGACACCAGAAATGGGCTTAACACATTGTGCCCATGTGGGGAGTCGAACCCGGGCCTTCGGCATGACGAGCCAACGCTTTAACCACTAGGCCACCCCACCGCCCGTTTTAGTTTTTAACATAAGCATGATAAGGGGAATAATATCTCCATCAAATGTGTACCTCAAAAAATGGTAGTATGGTATAATGCATATAACTAGTTTAAACAAGAGTCCTCAGAAGATGACTTATCCCCCCGGCCCCCACATATCTGAAAGAACAAATCATCTGACAGTTAGTAACATCAAGTCCAGCTTGATGTCTTTTAAGACTAAGCCCAAATCGTTTTCATGGAAACCCGGAAAAATAAAAATGCCAAAAATCTGTAAATAGCAAAAGGCACCACTTCAAGATCTGACTCATGAATCTGCCAAGTTCTGTTGAAAGATATAAATGGTTTTCGAGTTGTGCACCAGAAACAAAGCCCATCCCTCCCTTTTGAGACTAAGTCCGAATCGTTTCCATGGAAACCAAGAAAAAAAAAATGCCAAAATTCTGCAAATAGCAAAAGGTGTGTGTGTGTGTGTGTGTGTGTGTAAGTAAAAAAGTGACTGTTGCAATCATTAAATTTAGCAAAACTGTCAATTGCATATTGAAAATTTTAACTATAAATTGTATATTTATATACTTATCCTATCTCACGACTTGCACCTCTCTCTCTTCATTCGACCATGAGTGGAAACGAATTCAAACTTTGCTCCAAGGCCTACCTTGCCCCTCTCCCGTGCTGTGCGTGCCTTCTGTGTCAGTCGTGCTCACTAGTCCATGACAGCACGAGGCATGCGCAGTCCTCACCCACGTGATCACCTCACATACTCATTCTCGATCTTGGAGCCATAAAAGGACAAAACCGGAACGGTGGTAATCTATGTAGTGGGGAGGTAGGGAGGGACTTTCAGCGTGAGATAGGATAAGTATATAAATATACAATTTATAGTTAAAATTTTCAAATTTTAAACTTATCCTATCTCACGACTTGCACTTATCCCACGGTAGGAAGGTGGGTCATAGATTACCGAAATTCAAAGGCGATAACAGCTAAGTGTTATGCCCAAACAACCGTGAGGAGCAACTACAAGGTAGGCAAATAACTACCAAGTTACTACCTGCGAGGGTTAGTTCGAACCCATTGACTTACTAAGCACAATTGCTCCCAGGGACCGGGATTCGAGCAATGTGGTGTTCAGTCACTACCTTCACAAAGTGAAAGGGCGTAGCTTAACGAAGTGTAATCAGTCGCCATCGCCCGCGATTTCCAAGGTACCCCGTAATAAAAGTCTAACGACTAGTATCGGGCCAGCCCCTGCCGAAACAACCCCCACAGACACCGTCCGAGGAGGGTGAAAGAGAAATTGAATGGTAAAACTCACAATTTTAGCGTTCAGTACCACAACATCATCTTATGACTTCCATTACTTACCACAATAAGATCACATAGATGTGTATAGGCACCAGGAGCATGAACGCTCGAGAAGTGTAACACTTCGAGGGAAGGACTCACTTCACTGACTTAATTACTCCGTGGAGCAGAGGACAGTAAGTGAGGTGGCGACTCTCTGTAGTCTCAAACAAATGAGAGGAGAAATCTAAATCCCGGGAAGGCGTAAATCAGAAAAAGTATTTCAGATTTATTCAGATTGTACACAAGCAGAAACGATCGCTACTTGGGATCAACTGCACAGTGGGATCCATATAGCATCGGAGCACAAGGAAGTTCATTATCTGCGATGTTGTGCGCTGATAACTGCTGGAGCAGGACGAGTGGTCCAAACTGATGAAGGCCTTGAATATCCGTCACCGACACATCTCTGAGGTAATGAGACGAAAATACTGTGTCAGATCGCCAAAAACAACCCTCCATTATGGCAGTTAACGAGCAGTTGCTATGCAACGCCATAGTAAGAAACCAATGCCCTGGTTTCATGAGGGTTGACTGCCGTAGAGGTGGTGGCAAACCGGCAAAAGTGTAGGCTCGTAGTATTGTGGCTCAGCTGGCAATATGTGAGTGTTGTGCAAGAGACTTCGCCTTTGGAAGCAGTAGACAAGGGTATAAACAGTCTCTTACGCATGACGGGCTGGCGCTCTGGCGATGCTTTGTTGGTAACGCCACGAGAAGTGTAACACTTCGGGAATGACTCACTTTACTTACGTGAATAAATCCGTGGAGCAGAGGACAGTAAGTGAGGTGGCTGACCTCCAGCGTCTCAAAAGCGAGACCTGCAATGGTCAGTTCGAACCCATTGACTTACTAAACACAAGTGCTCCAGGGACCGGGATTCCCGAAAGCAATGTGGTGTTCAGTCACTACCTTCATGAAAGTGAAAGGACGAGCTTAGCGAGTGTAAACAGTCGCATTACCACGATTTCCAAGGTCTGGCGACCAGTATCGGGCCAGCCCCTGCTTCGACACAACCCCACAGACACCGTCCGTGAGAGTGAAATGGTAATTGAATCGAAACTCACAAGTCCCAGAAGAATCGAAGACACAAATCAGAAATAAAATTCAGAATTTTATTCAGATTGTACACAAAGCAGAAACGACATAACTGGTGATCATCTGCGCTGAAGCTGATGGTTGTCCCAAGTGCCGAACAGGCGATAATGACAATGCTGAATTCCAATTCGTTGTGATGAAGGGCCCTTTCTCCTGATGACCACTGCTAGGCCACTTGATGGAGAAAGTGAGCTTCCAGCTTGCAAGATGTGCCAACGAATAGGTGTTGAGTGGGTATGAAGGGCACCTAGAGACTCCAACACAAACATTCCACTTGTTGAGCCACCAACGAAAGACTGAATGTAGTTGGGCGGGATGACGAATCAACTCCCCTGGGGTTGTCGTCCCCGATGTATGGGCACAGAACCATCTGAAGAGGGCAAGCTGCAGCTGGCCCCTGTCAGTCAGCACTTGTGCCGACGCCAACCACCTAGTAACTTCTGCCACTGGCGAAAAGGTGTGGGTTGGACCAACACTAGTGGTGCGTTGCACTGAATCTTGTCCCACCTCTCCTAGGGCACAAACATCATGACCTGGGTGTTGAATATTGTCCCAATAAGAAGAAACAGGGTCGGTGTTACCCTGATTGCTCAATTTAGCAGCCATCCTAATTGCATGAGCAACTTGATGATGAACTGTCTGTGGAAAGGAAGGACGACTGGATCCTGCTGGGCTTGAACACAGTCGTCGATATTGTTGTCAATTGTCACGCTTCGACAATGCAGGTAGCTGGTTAACAGAATGGCTATCTGAGTAAAACCCAAGGGGCTGCGCATATGCCCATACAGCAGGATCCTCCATTGGTATCAATGACGCCCCATAAAAGTAAATCGAAGATACTTCCAATAGTCTGGATGTATCCGGATGTGAAGGTAGGCGTCTCACAGGTCGAGGGACTGACTGACTGACTGAGTTTAGTTTTACACCGCCTTTAGCAATAATCCAGCAAAATCACGGCGGGGGGCACCAGAAATAGGCTGAACACATTGTGCCCATGTGGGGATCGAACCGGGGTCTTGGGCGTGACGAGTCAACGCTTTAACCACTAGGCTACCCCACGGCCATCGCAGGTCGAGGGAAATGAGAGGTCTAACCACTCTTGCCTCTGACAAAAAGTAAGTAAGTTAGTATGGTTTAACGCCGCTTTTAGCAATATTCCAGCAATATCACGGCGGGTCTGACAAAAAGATATCTCCTGATATAAGAACGTTCAATAAATTCGAGCAACTACGCCAGTTCTAACGGAGTGCTCAATGTAGTATAGTCGGCGATGGAGATTGTCAGTCAATCTACAGGAACGTTCACATTATAAACAAATTGTAGAAATTAAGTAGGATCGGTGACCTCAGGAACGTTTCTTTGGCCGAACAAAATAATGGTGCTTCAGGTGGAGTGATATAGGTAGTAGATCGCTGCCTGGTGACAATCCTTGCATAATGCAGTGACCTCTGAACTTCGGTGCTTGACTAGGCAAACCGTTCCGCGGGTGTTTCTGTCCGTCACCCTCAATAAGCAGTCTCTCTCGACTGGCTGTCAAAATCCCGACACAGTCACTCTTATCGGGGAATGGCAGCGTTCGTTGTTACTTGCATTTATAGGCTGGACTTGGTATCCGATTAAGTGGGACCAAGAGAATTCTGCAAGGGCACTTCATAGTCACTCTAATCATCAAAATTCCGGTAAACAAACAGTAGTCCGCCATTTGCAAACGTTACACACGCAGTGACAAAAAATACGGACAACCTGGTCTTTGGTTAACGGGCGAGTCGCAACCCATAAATTCGGGCTGAGCTATGCTGGCTATTTGACAAAACATTGCGGTACCATGCGCCAAGAACTTCATCCATTTGTTATCTGTCCAGAAACTTGCTTATCATGTAAAACAAAGGAGCTGAAGATGACGGAGCCGTCTGCAACAATTGCACCAAGGGATACACAAACACGCTGTTACGAGTAGTCTGTAGTAACAAGACTCATCGGGCGTCGTAGAGTATTCCTGGCTGCAAGCGTATCTAGTTATGCCATATCGGGTGGTTGCAGAACTGATATCTACACCGAAGGGTAGAATCGTTGAACCGAATCATTCATCAAAAGTGAAGATCGGATGGTAGATTAAATCTGGAATGAGATGAGCTCCGGTCGCGGAGGACTCTTGAGAACTGGGATCGCCAGGCCGTCAAGTGCCGAAATGCGTGATATCTCTAGATGACTGCGCTACTAACAACACATGTAAATCAAATCGGCATGGTGAAGCACATAGCTACTACCTCTGTACATTGATCTTGAGCGGCCAGGTGAACTGGTTCGACGATAGGGAGCTTTCGACCTGGTGAAACGATACGAGCGGCTGGTAAATCAGTTCAGGGTGGTGAGCGGAAAGTTGGCGTGATCTGAATCAGTCCGATGTGATCTGAATAAAGTGACTGATCTGGATCGGTTCGGTAATCGAACCGGTTAAATGATCTCAGCTGATGGAGAGATCTAGAGCGCTCAGATGAACCAGTGGCGAGGTGAAATGTTCGGCCGAGGTGAATCGTTTTCGTTGCTGTGAATTGAATCGATGATGTGAACTGTTTCGCGGCGATAAAAACAGTCTTAATATTATGGCAAACTGAGTCAATGTCGTATTCACATGCGTGGCGAAAACGGTTCGATCTGGTGAATCCATTCGTGTATGGCGAGCGGATTGATTAATGGCTTAATCGGTTCGGTCCTAGTGAATCCATTTGGTATGGCGAACCGATTCGGTGGTGAACCGGGTTTGGCAATTTGATGGTTCATACGGTCTGGTGAAACCATATGGTATGGCGAGAGCGATTGGGTGGTGAATCCATTCGGTATGGCGAACCGATTGGGTGTGGTGAATTCCACCGGTATGGCCGAACCGATTGGGTGTGGTGAATCCATTCGGTATGGCTAAAACGGTTCGGTCTGGTGAATCCATTCCGGTATATGGCGAACCCGATTAGGTGTGGCGAATCGGTTTGGCGATTTGACGAAGTAGATCGGATGTGTGAGTCAACTGGCAACACAGAAGCGTTTTGATGAGGCGGAACCACGAAGACATCTAATGATGCGCCCATAAAATTATCACCGTTCGACATGTGGGGAAACTGCGGACGGCGAGCAGTTAATACCGGTCGTTAAAAGCGGGGGTTTGTCGGGTGATCAACTGTTGAAGTGTAACGAGCTCTGTCTGCCAGCCGCCGGGAACAAGTATGTCTACATGCTCTAAAAGCGTCCTTAATAAAGGAGCACATTCCGATAACGTTTGCTCAGGAACATGGCGATTGGGGATCGAGGAAGTAAATATTGTTACAGTGTGCGCAAAATTACGCTACTGAGTCTAGACTGACAAGGCGGGATATCCTGATTCACCTAAAGTGAATGAGACCGACCGAGAATCACTCTGGACGAAAACACACCTTACGGCTAGGTGAACCGGATCGAAATGGCCAACCACCTCGACCAGAACTGAGACTGCGACTCTGACGGGAATCAAAAGCGCTGATGGTGTGTCGAACTGAAACCTATGTTGAGGTGAACTGAGTGGAATGTGAACCCGTTCGTCCTGGTGAACCCTTTGAGTGCGTGAATCAGTTTGGTCAGGTGAACCCATTTGATTCACGTGAATCAGTTCGATTCGGGTGAACCCATTCGAAGATGTACTGGTGAGCCGGCTCGGCCGTGTGAGCGGTTGACGGTAATGAACGGCTCGGCTGTGTGAGCGGCTCGGGGAAAGTGAGCGAGACCTAGAACGACTCCTCCCAGCCCGTGGAAATAGGAGAGCTGAAGTGCGTTCCAACAGCGCCGATCCCGCTTCAACGATGAATGCTTAGAAGTTCTCGAAGTCTGTGATCGTTCGAAGAAGCAGACCCTACGAGATAATGTAGATCGCGGGTCTGGCGTAGAAGAAATATCGGTCATTACCACCCTGGTACGCTCATGAGAACTTAAACTGGGTGAGGGAAGCTCCCTAAAAGCCTTCTAACGTTCTCAGATAAATAGGAATCCGACGAAGCCTCCATAAAATCTTAGTCAGGAGACGCGAGGCGATTGAGAGCGGTGAGCAGTGAGGGTGGGCGATCTAAGCATTGTTTCTTAGCGGAGATGGACCAGACCCCCAGAATTAGTCCTAGCCCTATCTGCCAAAGCGTCTGGCACAAGCACGTTTGTAAAATTTAAACGCCTCATTAGACAGACCTGAACACTTCGGACAGCGTGTGTCCCAGTCACAAACACCCACATAATCAACACACGATGTGTGTGGGTCCCATGCTGAAAAAACTTTATTACAACGGGCGCAAAACATCCGTTTACTGGCCTGAATAGGCTTAACCATTGAGCAAATCTCAGAGGAAAAAATGTTCACGTCCACTCAGTGGAGCGACAAGAAAGAGAATGAGTATGTGAGGTGATCACGTGGGTGAGGACTGCGCATGCCTCGTGCTGTCATGGACTAGTGAGCACGACTGACACAGAAGGCACGCACAGCACGGGAGAGGGGCAAGGTAGGCCTTGGAGCAAAGTTTGAATTCGTTTCCACTCATGGTCGAATGAAGAGAGAGAGGTGCAAGTCGTGAGATAGGATAAGTTTAAAAATTAACAGATTATTGAGAATCTTATTGTAGTAGTGAGTGAGGGAATAATGTTTTATGCTGCTTTTAGCAATATTCAAGCAACATCATGGTGGGGGGACACTAAAATGGGCTTCACACACAACTCAAGTGGGAAATCGTACCCAAGTTTTAAACATGGACTTTCTCCAATCAAACACTGAAAATTGTCTCTACATATAGTAACAAACTTTCAGCTTCTCAGGACATGGAATGATTCCACATCTGTAAGATTTTGGGACATCCATCTCCCCCTCTATCCCCTGAAACCATCCCCTTGACTCATCTTAACTAGGGACTGTCAGTATACTATTTTACAATACCTGTGACACTGCAGTAGTGGTGACGTAGACGTGTCTGTGTTGGCGAGAGTGTCGGAGGGAGGCTAGGTTGTGTCTAACCCTCACATGTCGACACATCACTACTTGGTGGGGCTTGAGGCTATCAAACACGGAATCCTAGGAGAAGGACGAAATGGTTCAAAATGAAATCACTAAATGATCACTGACCATCTAAAAATATTAGGGGAGATTTATCACGTGTAACTGACATTAACTGATACTGTTAATAATGAATAGTCATCACTAAACTAAATACAGTGGAAGCCCTCTAAACAGGCATACGTTGGGACAGGCAAAAAATGACGGTATAGAGGGCGTGCCGGTTTAGAGAACTTTTCCCTTTTCAACCTGAGAATGATCCGTGTCGTAAAATACGACTGAACAACATGTTGATAGCCATCATATTCTTGTCAACTTCACTCTGACCTACACTGGCACTTTTGCCGGTCACATTGAACTGTTTGATGTCGTATCGTGTCTTCCTGCGTGCCAGCCAACCATCTGATGCCTTAAACCTTTAATTCTGATGCCTTTAATTCTGAAGCAAACTGAATTGCCGAGAAATAGGCCGAGATACCGGATGCCGATTTAGAGACCGCTAATTACTGTACAAATTGGGCGGCCTTTGTTGTGTCCAAATACGGAATAGACTGATGCCGAATTAGAGGGCATGTAAATGATACTAAATCAACTAGCTTCTGCCGGGACCAAATCCTAGTGCCAATATTGAGAGCATGCCGGATTGGAGGGCTGCCGGTTTATAGGGCTTCCACTGTAATGCAAATTCTGGCATTTGGCCTAGATATTTTTACAACTGCACCTGCATTACTTAGGCAATAACTAGCGAGTGACAGGGAACGACAGATCATATTTCCCGAGTTATATTAATTACGTAATTTTCTCGAGACTTGTCCTTCCCCGTCACGAGTTGGTTATTGTTTTTATTATCCATATAAGTTTTTGATCTAAAAAACGCTAAAATGAAAACAGTAACCCGCGATGAGGGAAATCCCCATATCCCAACTCGTGACAAAATCTGTAAATAGCAAAAGGCAACACTTTACGTTCTGTTTCATATATCTGCCAATTTTTGTTGAAAAGTATCAAACAGTTTTTGAGTTATGCTTACGGCTGGCCGGATGGACAGACGGACAGACGGACGGACAGACAAGATGTCGACTGTATCCCCCCCGGCATGTAATGAAAATGAAACAACCAAGTTTTTATGACAAATCCACATATGTTTGGTGATGACTGACCTGCCCCTTATACATCTGAAGGATGAAGGGCTTGTCGTGGGTGTGGTCACGGATGTGAACCCACCTCATCAGCCAGAACCCTCCACTGTCCCCATGTGTCCGACCTGCAAATACATACACGGACATAGCAGCTGCAGTAGAAAAACTGATCTGCCAGCTTCAGCATACTAGCAACTTTGTGTCATATGTCATTAACAGTTCAACCATAAGTCCATTTTAGTAAAATCTAAATATTTTTTATATTTGTATACTTATCCTGCACTACTTACTTCCTGCACTTATTGCTTACGGCTCGAAAAGCGTGGCTTGCCAGACGATGTCAAAAAGACGTAGAACTGCAATCACTTCCTGGTCTCGGCTGCTTACTCGTCTGCGCATGCGTCACCGGAAGGTGACGTCAGCCACCTCAGATTATTGCTTAGAAATCCCACAGATGGCAAAACTAAGCGGGGAGGTAGCTGATAGCACAGGGTGGGCTCCTTATCATAAGTAGTGCAGGATAAGTATACAAATATAAAAATATTTAGATTTTACTAAATTTTAACTAATCCTGCACTACTTACTTCCTGCACTTTATCCGACAGGCTGGAAGGTGGGCGTGTCATCTGAGGGATCGCCTCGCTTACGTAATAGCAGCCAGCTCAATCCGTAATCCCGTGCTCGGAAAGCGTTGATAACGCCTATAACAGAGAGCTTAATTAGCGAGGGACGATCAAGTAGCGGTAATTCGCAAATAAGACTGCGCCTTAAATGAAAAGAACCCACTAATTTTAAAGCTGGCGAAGCTTAAGGAATGCAGCAAAAAGCATGGACTTGAAAAACAAGGATAACTCCTTAACTGACATACCTAGTTGTTTGTGAAGAAAACAACTCATTCCCCACATGGTGGTCCGTGGAAGGAAACACAAGGCAGGAGGGTCACTTTCTTCGGGAATGGCGAAGTTGCTGAGCAACCACCAATGGTCCGAAGCTGTGGACATCATTAACGCCCTTGACAGCCATGTCACGCAAGTAATGACTGGCAAACACTGTGTCCGACCGCCAAAACAACCTTGCATAATGGATGACACAGTGCAATTACTGTGAAGTGCCATAGTCGAAGCAAGTGCTCGAATCTCGTGGGGATGAGAGGACGTAGGAGGGTCCAGCCCAGCCGCTTTATATGCCTGAAGAATGGTTGTTCTTAACCATAAGGCAATAGTGTTTTTGCTGACATCTGACTGCGACGCCCGGGACAGTGGAAGAAATAAACGTTTCCTTGTACCACGAACGCCTTTGGTGCGATCAATGTAAGTTTTGAGCGCATCTAATCGGACATAACAGTAATTCCGCGATCGCCTTCAGAGCCAACAATAGATGATAATGGCGGGATGGAAAACTGGCGATCAGGTTGTCCTGGTAGTTGGTTTTTAGCGATGAAATCCCAACACATACCTAAGTGCACAGAACCATGACGACGACGTTCAAACTTGATCCTAGTCACGTCAAGGGCGTGAACCTCACTCACTCTAGCCGCAGTCGCTAATGACAACAGAAATGCCGTCTTCCTGGATAAATCAGCGAGGGAAGCGTTATCAAGAGGTTCATACGGTGCACCACGGAGATGGTCTAAAACAGTGTTGAGATTCCATGCCGGGCGGATCTAAACTTCAACTTCTGGTCTTCAAGTCGGAATGAGCCGAAGCATGGCCTGTAATTCTGGGATTTTGGAAATCCTTCTGTCAGTGGGAATCGCTAAAACAGAGCTAATTGCCGCCAAATACGTGGCAATGGTGCCTCCCTTCAGACGCTTCTGGACGCTCGGAGATAAAGTAAGAAATCTGCTATGAACTGAGGAGACACAGTCAGCGGATCCTGCTTCTTGGTAACACAAAAACGCTCAAACGACTGCCACTTGTCGCCATACAAATGTCTAGTAGAAGTTCTGTGCGCCGTCGCGAATGGCTTTGGCTGCTCTAGCCGAAAAACCCTTAGCACTCAGTGCTTTCTGCAAATGGTCCATGCGTGCAGATTGAATCGGTCTGGAGCCGGATGCGAAGATGGCTGTGAGGGTGCACTAGAACGCTCCTCCACGGGTAGAGGGAAGGATCTCCTACCACTAGACTTTGTAGAACGGAAACCAGTTCCTGGCTGGCCACCAAGGCGCGCGACCAAAATTAGTCGAAGCAAGTTGTCTCCTTGACTTTGGCGCAGAACTTTGGGTAATAGAACTGGTGGCGGAACGATACGCCGCGAAGTCCCTCCCATGATAGGTTGAGAGCATCCACCGCCCAAGCCGCTGGATCTGGGACTGGGGACACATACACTGGCAGTTGATGGTTTTGGCTGGTGGCAAACAGATCTATGTTTGGATAACCCAGTGCGTGACTTAAAAGAGTGAAGGCCTCCTTGTGTAGCATCCACTCGCGGGGAGCAACTCTGTCGGTCTCGAGAGCGCCTGCTAGTATATTGCGGCACCTCGAATATGCCGAACTCTCAACAGAATGTGGAGATCGTCGACCAGTTGAAAGAGCCGAAATGTCTGATCGAGGAGAAACTGTGAGTGTGTCGACTTTGCCTTCGTGATGTACCATACGACCGTGGTGTTGTCTGTAGCCACTAGAAGACAAGTTCCTCGTAGTCGATGTGCCCAATGATGAATAGCGAGGATCACGGCCTCCAACTCCAGACTGTTTATATGCCAGTTGATGTGTTGACCGACCACAGGCCGGAGGCTGTCTGGTCGCGGTAAGTGAGCGCCCAACCCTGCAGGCAGGCGCCCACTTAACAGTTGGCAATCCGGAGGCTGCTCTGTCAAAGAGACTCCTCCTAAGACGCTCAATGGGCGAGTCCACCAAAGAAGATAGTGATGTAACTGAGGTGGAAGGCAAAACCGTTGATGAACGCCTGCCCGGATTTAATGTATGGTTGAAGAAACCGCTGCAGAGGACGAAGTTGAAGACGCCTCTGCTGGTAAGATCCTGCGCCGACGCCAACAATCCCAGAAGTGACTGCCACTCTCTGAGGGACAGAGGTTGGGAGAGTGCACGTGGAATCAGAGACTGAATCTTGTCCCACCTGTCCAGGGAATCTGAACTAGGTTCTTGTCCGCCTGGAAATGGCCTCCGATGAACGCCAGAGTGTGAGTCGGAACAAGCTCGATTTGTCCAAGTTGACCAGCCACCCTAGTTGGCTTAACAGACGAAGGGTGAAATCCGTTGTTGTATAAGAAGTAGACGGTCTAACAGGTGCATAAGGCAATCGCCCAGGCACGGTCGAAATTGATGCCCCTCAAATGTAGATACCGGAAATAGGAGTTGTGATACGCGGTGAACAACCACGGGCCGTTGAAATTCCAAATGGGAGGACAGCCCATTGGAAATGTTGATTGTTGAAAATAAAGCGCAGGTACTTCCTGTCGCTGGAAATATTGGAACATGGAGGTATGCATCCTGTAGGTCCAGGCTGATGAGAAAGTCGCTGACGATACCATAGATTTGAGGTATTCGAGGGACGCCATTCGAAGTGCGGAGGACGCTCCAGGAAAGTCTCGCTGAAATAGGACAGATTGTGAATCATCCTCATTTTCGCTGACCCTTTCTTCGCACTAAGAATATTGGAGAATAAAACCCTGGTGTTATGATGGGATACGGGAGGAGTTCGATGGCTCTTTTCTCCAACAAAATCGCTATGTTCTCCGCTAGAAGGTTGTGTTGAACCTGAGAGTGATTGTGCCGGAGCGGGAACATTGTCAGAGGTGGATCGGAGAGGAGGGGAGCCAAACCCCTGCCTCAATATATCGGTGACGATGGATCCTCTAGGATGGACCAATTTTCCCAAAAGATCCCTATTCTCCCACCTACCGGTGTAGGATAAACTGGGACGACTGGAGGTGGAGTGTCCAGTCGCGTCGCGTGTCCCTCACTTCACTTGCCCCTACGCCCGCCGCCCTGGGCGGAGCACGCGGCGACGCTGATATCCACCCCTGTCTGATCTAGGCTTGGCACCGTCCCCTGCCACGAGACGGCGCTGAGTTTCTGGCACGCCGAACAGACGGTCGCCGAGGCTGGTAGGTGTGGATGACGATGGAGGCAGGACGTTGTCCCTTTGAAACGCTTTCAAGGCAGTCTCCCCTTTGGCAAAATCACACACCTGCCGATAAACATCATGAATGGCATCGCTAAACAGTGACGACGATGACCAGGGTTGGTGGAATAATTTCGCTGAAATTCGAATCCCATGAAGAAAAGGAGAGGAAGCCTTGCCGACGAATTACGCACGCGCTGGCAAGCCCGACCTAAGGTGTTCACGCAGGTCAGTGATCACTTTACCCTGCCATAGCATCATAGTTGTAAGATGATCCAGTCGATCCGATTTATTTCCTTAAGATCCTGAGTGATGGCATCAGTCGCTGACGCCAATGCCGATATAGAGGCGGAGCATACGCTTAAGCTCTAAGTCCAAAGCCGCGACCCTTGTATCCTGAACTTTATAGGAGGACACAGAGGAAGAACCTGTCACACGTTTCATTTCCTCATCCACCTTAGTCACTGTCTGGGCAAAGTCCAAGCCATGAATAGGATAGTCATCACGACGTACTCTAGGGCTTTAATAGTTGGGTTGAGAGACACATTCGCGAAATCTTCATCAAGGGTAGAGAGAATCTCTCTGACGCCTCATGTGCTGGTAACATTAAGGAAGGTGAGTCCCAAATAGTAAGTGACTTTGCAACATCAGGGCCTGGTGAAGGGACTGAGGCTATTAAACGATCAGCAATCCAGTCAAACACGTGATCAAAGCCAAGGTGATTAGAGCCATTATCTTCCTCATAGTCTGGGGCAAAGTCCTCTCAGAGGACGGTGAAGCTTAAAGCGGCAAAGGGGAGCGGCTACGTGCAGACGACGCCTTAGCAGAAGACGCCTTTACGAGGTCTCGACCTATGTTCGCCTGCGAAGGCGTGGGACGAACGGAGGCGTTAAGCGTAGAGGCACAGGAGCAGACAAAGTTGACAAGATAGGCACCGATGCTGGAGGGGCAGAAGCGCCCGAAATCGTCGGAGGTGGCAAAGGTGGCAAAGCTGGGAGGCCCGAGGGGAGAGAAGCGCCGATGTAGCTGGTGGCATAAACGGCATAGGCGCTGATGTACCCGGCTTGACCTGATAGTAAAGTCAAGAGAGTGCTGGCGTGGATACATCAAACTGCTGGTGGCCGTATGGCGTTTGCATCATAGACGCCTGAGGCATTGGAAACCCCGTATGTGGTTGATACGCGCATAAGCGTCTGCCCCGGAACACTGGCTGGGGTGTCTGATCTGGCGCAAACTGCTGGCCCATCGGTCGTTGTGGAGATGACATCGGCAACAGCGGAGGAGGTGAGGAGTGCCAAAGCGCCCGGCGCCAAGCGCCCGCCCATCAAAGCGCCAACGAAGCTAAGCGCTGGCGCTGGCGTAACGCTGTAACACCGGCGACATAAGCGGCGAAGACATAATCTGAATGCTGGTGACAGCGCATTCGTTGACACAGTTGACGCGCGCAACACTTGGCGTAAGACGTAGTGGTCGTCAAGACCGGTGTCAAGTAGTAGACATACTCTTCCGTCTCTGTTGTCCCAGGCTTCTTAACAACCTGTAGATAAGCGGAGAAACTCTTGGGTGATAGCACAGCGCAGCTGGCACATTTATGGCCAGAGGTACATTGAGTAGTACATTTCAAACATCGGGGATGAGGGTCTTTCTGAGACTTCCCACCCGACAATGTATACAACTGGCGCTGTACATAGATCTGCAATGAAGCAGAAAACCCAGTAAGCGCATTACATACCAAGTAATGAATATAACAGCAAAGTTGAGAACAAAAGTCTCAAAATAACTGAAAGTTTAAGAGACCATAATACAGGCACAATAAATATATCACTATTATATGGTATAGTATATAAGCCTGAACCAAATGAAACACAACGACGTATCAAATGCGCAAAGTGTTTTAATGGCGAAGTGAAAGTGTGATGACGGGACCGTGTATAAACGAACGACATCACTACACAGAACTACTGAATGACAAAAAGAAAGTGAAAGATAATACCTACACTTCTCGTAGAGGTACAAAACAAAATACACACAAAGTCAGTCTTTATTAATGCTTCACAAAATATAATCCCGTAGGATACAAGTTGAGCTGGCAAACAACACGTCTAACGAGGCGTGCGAAAAGCAATAATCTGAGGTGGCTGACGTCACCTTCCGGTGACGCATGCGCAGACGAGTAAGCAGCCGAGACCAGGAAGTGATTGCAGTTCTACGTCTTTTTGACATCGTCTGGCAAGCCACGCTTTTCGAGCCGTAAGCAATAAGTGCAGGAAGTAAGTAGTGCAGGATTAGTTAAAAATTTAATTTTCCTGATTTGTCCCCCTACTAAAATTCTGTCAAGGTGTGATGACTAACTAACATCCGAGACATGTACCTAATTAATTAGGTAACTAATTAACACAGTGATCATATGATATATGGTCTTTTGATGTTGGGTGCCTAGTGGAGAATTGCGAAACTAACTTTGTCAAGTATGATCAGTGTTTGGTAATATACATACGATTTGCTGAAAATAAGAAGTGTTTTATAGAGGATAGATGTTCGTTTCCTAAAAATATCATCTGGTAGGTGAGGTTTCTGTGCATCCAAGATCCTTGTGTATAGGGCAACCACAATTACTTCTTTACAAGGTAATGTTTCTAAAAGATTGCAAATGCTTTCCTAAACTAAGCATTTTTAAAGGATTAAAGATCACTATCTTGCCGCAGGTCAATAATTCCACAAAAATCGCAAAAGCAAAACCATATATACTCCATAAGCTCACAGTGTACAAGAAAGAAACTAAAGATAAAGACATGACAAGAACTCACCCTTTGTGGCTTCTCCTTCCCTCCTATATACACTCCATAAGCCTACATACACCACCATGCCAGCAATATCACACACTACGTTGTCCGGCAGCGAACTGTGGATACAGAGAATCACTGTCAAACTACTTACACAGAGCAAGCGATAAATGAGATTGATCGATAAACACTATTATAATAAAAAAACCAGAATGTTTGTTTAGAAATTATAATAAAAGTTAATATCAGTCATTTTTATGATAAAAAGTGATATTTTATACTTATCCTGACTCATGCTATATTGCTTATCTCCCTTCTCTTTTCGACAGTTACGTAGAAACTTGAATCCCTAGTTCCCTGAAGAGAACCTAAAATCACTCACCTCCGAGTTGCTTCCCTTTTCCCGCCAAAAGCGTCCGATGTGACTAAAGCCTAGCTTTCATCACTCTCTCCTGAATAAGAACGCACTAAGGCCCGTAGTGCTGAGAGGGGATGGGTGAGAGTTCCCTTCAGATCATGAGTCAGGATAAGTATAAAATATCAATTTTATCATAAAAATTACACATTTCCCCTTATCCTGACTCATGCTATATTGGTTACCGAATCCGACGGAATAGGTGGTGGGTCAGCCACCTAACGGGATTCACTGTGACTGTTCTCAGATCAAACAGCGTCTGATCAAATACCCACTGGGAACTCCTTTTGCGGCTTCTAAAAGATCCTGTGAATCGGGGGGCCAACTTCTCATAAGTCAATAAAAGAAGTAATCTTATAGATTTCGTGGATTTTAGATAATCTAGTATGCCTCGATGTCTAGTTATCTAGGATGATCCATATGTTAAGGTAAGTACTTAACTATTACTGAAACTGAATCATGACCCATATGGTAAGGTAAGGACAATTACCGAAACTGAGTCTAAATCACTCATTCTCTGACTTATCTAGTAAGACAGGGGAACATGGACTCTCTGCCAGTGGCAATGGGACAGCTGCCTGGCGTCAACAAGCCAATGTGATAAGGGTGAGTTTCTCATTGTCTGGCTGGAAGTGTGAGTTGTTGTGCTACTACAAGGGCCCGAACTGGTGGATACCGGATACATCTCCTGTAGCAATGTCTCACAGATAGTGGTTGGGGAACACTGTCTCCGATTTCCAAAAGCAGCCTTCCATGTTGGACGATAAAGAGCAGTTCCCATGTAGTGAGAGTGTCAAGGCTAATCCTCTAATTTCGTGTGGGTTGGAGGCTCTGGGAGGATCCAGCCCCCGCTGCTTTGTAAGCTCGTAGGATGACAGCTCTGATCCAAAATGAGATAATAGTTCAGGAGACTTTAATAGTTTTGACGGGTGATAGCAGGATAAAGAGACGCTTGAACTTCCTCCTTCTTGTAATAAATAATAATAAAATGCAGATTTCTTCATGCGCCTTTTCCACGTCAGCAGATATGCTCAAGGCGCAACAATGACAGATTAAAAGAGTCTCCCACATTTATACAGCAATATGTACACTTCCAAAATAGAGTTCCTAATAATACATTGAAAACAGGTATGTTTTGAGTCCTGACTTGAATGTGGCAATACTATCAGAAACTTTCAGATTGTATGGGAGTGAATTCCACAAGGTTGGGGCTGCATATGAAAAAGTCCGGTTTCCAAAAGTTTTAAGCTTGAAGTTTGGCACGAACAGAAACTCCTGATTGGATGATCGAAGGCAGCGCTTGTTTGAGTAAGGAGTAAGCAGGTCAGAGAGATATGGGGGAGCAAGTCCGTGACGGGCCATGTAGGTCAAGCAGAGGATTTTGTAGTCGCTTCTTGCCTTGATGGGGAGCCAGTGCAACTGTTTAAGAACAGGTGTGATGTGGCCATGTTTGGGAATGCGACTGATAATACGTGCGGCCGTGTTCTGCACCTTCTGTAACTTATCCAATAGCCTCTGACTGATCCCAAACAACAAGCTGTTGCAGTAGTCGAGCCTTGAAATCACAAGCGCCCGAACTAAGGCATGGGTGGCTTCAGCTGTAAGATATTGACGGATGTTGCTGATGGAGCGAAGATGGAAATAGCAAGTCTTACAGATGTTGTTCACCTGCGCTTCCATTGACAGTGATGTATCAAAGTATATGCCTAGATCTTTGACAGATGAGCTTATAGGAACAACTGCATCGGCGATGGTTAGGTTCTTAATGGGACATCTTGAAATTTGGTGACTTGTTCCTACCAGAAGTGCCTCAGTCTTCGTGTCATTGAGTTTAAGCATATGAGTTGTCATCCAGGACTTGATTTCCCCTGTGCAGTTTGTGAGTTCTTGAAGTGACTGATTTAGATTTTGCAGTGGTATTTTCTTGAGGAGTTGGGTGTCATCTGCGTAAGAGTGATGCGACATGTTGTGGACTGATGTGATGTTGGCAACATGACCAGTATACAGCAGGAACAGCAACGGTCCCAAAACAGATCCCTGTGGTACTCCATGTTTGAGAGTAATGCTGTCAGATCTGTCTTTCCCTATCATTACACACTGCCGTCTGTCACAGAGATAGGAGCTTATCCAGTTCAGTACTATGCCGTCAATTCCATACTGGGTTTTCAGCAGATTTAAAAGGATACTATGGTCTATGGTATCAAATGCTGAGGAGAGGTCTTACAAAAAGGACCAATGCTGCTATGTCACCCCCATCTACATTCCGTCTCAACTCATCACTAACTTGTACTAAAGCTGTTTCAGTACTATGACATTGTCGGTATGCAGACTGATGCTTGTAGCAGTCAGTTCTCAGTTGGCTTTTAAAGTTCTGACTGGGCACAGGGTCTGGTCTTCTGTATCATGTGGTCCAAGGACCGTAGAGAATTCTGAGACGTGGAATTGACCAGGGGAGGACCCGTCACTGGCAGTGCTGCCCTTAATACAGGAATCGCAGATACTTCGTCGAGGCCGGATGTATAGAGGGTGTGCAGGTAGGAGTCTTGTAGATCTATGCTGGCTGATTAGACGTCGCAACTGTGGTAAGTACAGCATCTTGAACTTGTCTGGTTTTAGTAGATAGTCTAGGTTGAAACACTTCATGTTGTAGATGAGGCAGAACTGCTCCTTGGACTTCTTTTTCGGGACTAGGGAAATTGGAGAATATAAGCCGGGAGTGAGACTACGTTGGTTTAAGATCTGTATGGCGTTTTTCGTTAGTAGCGAGTCGATGACCACCGTCAACTTTATGCATTGTAGTTCGGGGTAGTGGCATATCTGTAGGTTGATGGTAAGAGGTGGTGTCGCCTTGAGCTGGATCTCGTATCCTTCGCGCAGTACATGTAGGACATAGTCGTCTTCTAGAATACTCCTATTCTCCCAGTAGTAACCTAGACGTCCACCCACGGTTGATGGTTGTACAGGAACGGCTGGGGGTGGAACGGATCAGTCATTCTGAACCTGATCTTCACTGACGAGAAGATTGGGAGAATATCGACGAGTGGCCTCGCTAACGTCCTCTTGAGTTCCTGATGCCCTCTTATCTCTGGCCTTCTGAATGCCTGGGAATTTCGATTGGAATTGTACTTGTCATGTCTGCCGATACATGTTGTTCATCGTCTGCATGGATCTAATCAACCTTTGATCCTTGGAGTCGTGGCATACTCCCGAGACGCTGGTCGAATACCGTGGTCAAATAGAGTTAGTTCTGCCCAAGGTTTATGTAGTAGAGACTTGGTGTAATAATCTGGCCAGTTACAGGTCGAGAGGAGTCCTTGACGCTGAAGTAAGGTCAGGCCCGCCAATGTAGAAGCAAGGTGGTCGGACATAAATTCCTGGTCCTTCTTTTGTGTGACAAGTGCTGATAAGACCATTCTTTCAGCCTCTGTCTTAGGGATCTGAAAGGTGTTAATAAAGCTTCATTGATGGCCCGGGATCTAGCCAACCCGAAGAAGGTCCTTCTCGTAGTCGTGTCTAGATGTGCCAGCTTCTTATCTTCCTCCTATAGCTGCATAACTTAGAGTCGCTGACGAGATGGAAGTCGTCATCCATGTCCGGAGCCCTGAAGAAAGTTTCCATGCTGTGTAAGGGAAAGTTCTTCCCATTAAACACTGGAGTGTGTTACCCTTGAGATTTAGTAGCTTTCACAAACGCTGAGTTGCGGTTAGACGGGACCTGCAATATTGGCTTTATAAGAGGGATCGTGAGTGTCTCTAAATCTTCCTCTGCCATGCAGTAGGTCTCTGCTGGGTTGGAGTTATGTGTCGGCAATGCTATAGGTAGACCATCCGCAATCCATGATATGACCTCTGAGTCTTTATAGATGGATGCATCTTCAACTTCATGGACGTTAACATCTGAGGCCGCTGCTTCATCTTGAATGGAGTCGCTGATGGGGTCCGTTGGAGTAGAGTGGCTAACAGGAGTATGTGATTCCTTTGAACATTGTTGTTGTTGCATGGCTAGAACAACTTGTCTGGTAAGGTTCGCCACAAAATCTTGATCCATTGGTAGCCTTGCATTCTCTGGAGGGTTCGCGAACCCTTATGAAGTAGATGAAGCCATATTGCTTCGCTGGTGACGCTGCTTATTGGAGGTTGTCTGCGTAGATGGGTTTGTGAACGCATTCGCTGACTCGATATCTCTCTAGGCACGTAGAGACAAAATAGACTGACTGCTGGTTGACTGGTTCACAAACCCTTTCTAGAACTGTGAAGAGGCATGGGTAGAATCAGTAGACTGAGGCGAAGCTTGGGCGATGAAGGAGAGAGTGATGAGAGCTAGGCTTTAGTCGCATCGGACGGCGGGAAAAGGGAGGCAACTTGTGGGTGAGTGATTTCACATTCTGTTCAGGGAACTAGGGATATCCTCGTAACCGTCGCGAGAAGGGAGATAAGTAATATAGCATGAGTCAGGATAAGGAAAAATAAATGAAATACTACTTAGAATTTAATGCTTATTGTATGAAGGAAAAGTCAAACCAAGCAGCCAAAATATACCCAAAATGGTACTAATTCTTGGTTGCTGCTAGGCATTTTGCACTGCACTGGTACAAGTGACTAGCGCTGGAAACTATTAACACTGGTTTGAAAAGTAATTCAGTTGTACCATGATGCATCACCTTAACGTAGGAAGAACTGATTATTGTGCTACAAAACCTAGAAACCTGATCAGGGTGACCCTGGATTCGAACCCAAGATCATAAACTTCTGGAATGTCTGTGGAATGTGAACTGCTGCACTGTTGGTGACAGACCAATAACCACCTTTATGAGGACCCTGAGATAACAGTTTGGGAAACTCAGTTATCATGACTACTCTAGCCAACCCAATTAAGTCACCTACAATTTTAGGTTTCTGTGGTGCTATTTGCTCACAAGGAATGCCAACGGATAAAATGTTTGTTTGTTGTATAACGCTGCACTCAGCAATATTCCAGCTACATGACGGGGGGCTGTATATAATTGAGTCTGGACCAGACAATCTGGTGATCAACAGCATGAACATCAATCTACGCAACTGGGATAGGATGACATGTGTCAACCATGTCAGCGAGTCTGACCACCTGATTCATTTAGTCGCCTCTTACGACAAGCATGGGTTGCTGAAGACAAATTGTAACCTGGATCTTCACAGGCAACAGATGAAAAGCTTGCATGATACATCAAGTTCATGTTCCGCTGATAAGTCACATACCTAAGTTGATTTCTTGTAACTAATCGATACTTCAACTCTGCCAAGCGAAGAAGACGTGGCAAACTTCTGTTGTTGAGGATCAAAATCTCTCCCTTTGGATGATGAGCATTCATATTAAGGTCAATAGGGTAAAGGTCTAGGCCATTGTCTTGTATATGCCACTGGTAATTTACAGAGAAGCTTTTCTTCACTGTAAAATTTCTCAACATCAGAATGGATCCTTCCTTTATTCTGAATAGAGAAATAGAAAGTCAGTTATCGTGGTTGAGAAATAATTTTCATTAATGCACATGTTGAAGTCTACATAAACATAAGAAGATTAAAATGGGGAATAGCAAAAACATATGTGTTGATATGTGTGTACACTTAAGGTGTGGGCGAAGACATACTCACTGCTTCAAGTACTTGAGACAGACAACATTCCACAACACAACAGTGCAGTATCCTGACTTGTCACAAACCAGCAGGTGATGCTGAAACAAGCAGCGTCCAGACCTCTTCAAATGACATGACTTGAACACACAATCAAACTGCAATACTGCAAGAACTTAGAAACTCACAAGTTCTCATAAATGGCATTGTGTATTCCGAGTTCTTTCACTACTTAAATAATTATGAATTTATATTAAGGCATAAAACAAGAGGAATAGGTTTTGCATCATCTACCCTAGCATAGCAAGAGAAAAACAAATGAACTAATGACTATCAACAAGAGGGCTTATCCACCTAACCACACTTTTATCCACCTAGCTACATTGACTAAAGCAACCAAACAACTTTTCTGTCATCCAAACACGCACCTTGTCACCCAAACATCCACCTCACCACCTTTCTAATGTGTATGTAATACCTGGTATGGCCACTTGTCTGTTTTATCAGGTTTTGCGTAGTTGAGAAGACGAGACTTGCGGACAACTCTGACTAGGACGGGAGGTTTGGCAGACTGAATGCGACCCCACCTAGTGGCCAGCTCTTTAATGCTACAAAGGTCAAGGGTCAGCGGTTCATCCAGGTCATTCTGGGCTGGAACTAGGATTGGATTGACATGATAACATCTGCTGAAAACTGAATACATCATGTAGAGTGATTGCTAGAGAGTAGTGTTTAAAGCTGCTTTGAACAGTATTCAAGTCATATCACAGCATGTCTTAATGTGCTGAAGGAATGCATGTCTTGAACGTTTATCAGTTTGGGGAAACCCATGTGACAGCCATGGCAAACCTTGGAAACATGGTCAGGGTCATGAAAGGTTTCTGGCATGGTAACAAGAAGACAAAGTCATCAATATCCCCCGCAACGGCAAAATGCTGTTTATGAATATGTCTACTAGTTATGATTATGTCAATGTTTTGGAGTGTATACAGCAAAGTGGAAGGAGAGTATTGAAAGGTTTTAAGATCTGCTCCAGAAAGGAGCACTACCACCAAATTCAGCTCAAGCCTAACTTGTTGCCATGGAAAATGCAACAAGATGACATCCTCATAGTCACAGCCTAAGTCATGTTTCAATGGAAACCACAAAAAATACAATTCATATCTGGGTCTAACCCCAAAAGGCACACTTAGGGATCATGCTTGATATGTGTACTAAGTCTGATGAAGCTAGCATGTATAGTTTGGGAGATCTGCTCCGGACAAGATGACATCCTCATAGTCACAGCCTAAGTCATGTTCCCATCTGGGTCTAACCCACAAAAGGCACATTTAGGGATAATGGTTGATATGTGTACCAAGTTTGGTTAAGATATCACCAACAGTTTAGGAGATATGCTTCGGACAAAGTGTGACAGATGCACGGACGGACGGACGGAACTCGTTTCTATATCCCCCGCAACTTCGTTGTTGCGGGGGATAAAAAGGGGTGCAACTCTGCATACTGAATTGCGGTGCCTTAGATGAGTGGGCCAGCTGTGCCCCTCTACAGACATCCAGCTAACTTTGAAGAAGAATAGACACTGGTTGAAAACATGATCAATAATCTGTGATGCTAGAGTATATCAGTGGGGTATACCAATACATCGGCCTGATGACAAATTGTGACGATGTGCTAGGAGGCTACACAATCTGCTTACCTGTATCTTCACTTTCAGGTACAACAACATCACTGCTGGTCCATACACTGACATAAGAACCCCTCCCAGAGGCGATGGGTATGCTACCTGTCTGTCGTACATTAGACTCAGGATACCATGGTAAATCATAACTATCTGTGGGGATAGGAAATATAGAGTGACTGAGCAATATTCATAAAGTTGACATAAGCATGTCTTATGCTTTATGTTATCATGGTTACATAAACAAAAACACACAAACTTAGCGTTTGAAGTTAGCATGAGAGTTAAGTGGGCCTTGTAATGGTTAGGGTTTTAATTAATGAATAATTGGTTCATATTTGACTACATAATTTCCTGACATGCTCACCAAAGATTTGATACAAGCATAACTGATGCAATAAATTTGCTAAGGAAAATCTAGATCCAGACTTGAGTATTTAGAGTATTATTTCTAAAATGCTGACAGATACTTCAGTAGAGGTTCACTAGTTATCAAGTCTGCTTCAATATTGATATCATTGTATGAAAAATGGAAAGTAGTAATATTTTACTATTTTACATGGCAAAACAGAACATTAAATGAATAATGAGTACCAATGAAGTCCTCAGCAGTTTTCTGTCCTGTGACATGAAGTTCTTCGATGATAATAAGACTTTCTGCCTGTAAATCTGTCTCGTCAAATCTTGCTTTACACTTGGTAAGACACACTGTGCTTCCAACTCTCAACTGAAATAAATGTTCATATCATTTTAACAACATCAACATGAACCTAACCATGATTCAGTTGTACATATTGTACATGCTGTAGCCTTCGTTACGTTTAGCTCCAAAATGTGTTCACATAGGAGCTACAGGAGCTACTACAACATATTTAGACTTATGTTGATAATTATAACAGTGGTTAGACATACTTTGTTTCCAAATATTCCAAACATGATAAAGGACATTCATCAACATGATAAATAGATTAATTCATATCACACTGATATTTACCTTATTCTGTTGCACATAAAAGTTGAGCTGATTACACAGCAGCAATTTCCTCTTTGTTGAGGTGTCAGCAAGTGTGATGTCATGCACATCCAAAGCTTGACTTGTATCAGAGTTGGTCTGTTTTGTAAACTCAGGATCTGCTAAGTAACGGTTTATACACAAGACCTGCAAATGGAGAAAGGTTAAACATAAAATGTTGTCGAGAATGTAGTTTATTCAACAATAACATGCAGCATTGACAGGGTATCATTGATCGTCTCTCAAACGATGATGATGATTCAATGAAAAGCACTAATTCCGCTTGTCCGCATCAGTCTTGGAAGGCTTTCAGATTTTATTTATATACAAACCACTCTACAATCTTAGTATTTTATTTCTAAATGTGTAGCATTCATCAACTTGCAGTGGCAAATACTGAAAGCATAATTATCATTAATCATCTTCAATATCGAAACATGCTAAAAATACAATTAATAGATGTGGATACGCGAGCTTGCTTACAGCAGGGATAACTACAATATAGTCTCCCTGCTTACAGTTTCTCGGGAAGAAACCCAAGTGCTTATCTAAGCCTCATAGTCAACAATAATGGGAACATTAGTTAACTTGTTAAACACTGCCCCTCTTCCTTGATGATGAATTTTCACTTCCGAAAAGAATATATCAGAATATACGTCGAAGGCAACATTTTCAGCAGACGTAATGAAAGCACAAGACATCACTTACAATAAAGTTTTCCGTCTTGAGTCCTACGTTATTCAGTTCCGCAATTCTTATGGCATCTTCCAGTTCTTTCAAGTGGCTAAAAGAATCAAAATTTGAGTCTGCCGCCATATTTGCAATGGTTGTTGTTAAAAGTTGACTTCGGCAAATATCAATCAGAAGAACTACATCCGGATTCTACTGCCCCGGATGCGGTCGGGGACCGGAATTATCCGATACTTTCCAAATGTTAAAATCGGGACCAGTGCAAAATTTAGAAAACGTACATTGTAAAATAGATAATACCATTGTTTTCGCAACCACATCATATCAAAGTCTGTGTACAGCATTTAGAAGCGATATACATAAAGGTGAGAATTTAGGGATGTTAACTTCTGTGTTTTGAGGAACAGGACGTTTCGGAGTTTATTCTTACTCCTTCATCACGAGTTTCATAGACTTTTCATTCACTTGATGAAAGAGAAATGTCTTTCTCCTCAAAATAAAGAGGTTGACATAAATTCTCACCTCTACATCATATCATGTTTCACTTATGTCGGTTGTACCAATATGGATCAGGGTAATATATTTAGATATTACTAAAGTGAGTGAGTGAGTTTAGTTTTACGCCGCACTCAGCAATATTCCAGCTATATGGCCTGTAAATAATCGAGTCTGGACCAGACAATCCAGTGATCAACAGCATGAGCATCGATCTGCGCAATTGGGAACCGATGACATGTGTCAACCAAGCCAGCGAGCCTGACCTCCCGATCCCGTTAGTCGCCTCTTACGACAAGCATGGGTTACTGAAGGTTCATTCTAACCCGGACCTTCGATCACGGGCAGATATTACTAACGTACAATAGATGTTTCCATTGAAAATCTGTTTTAATAAAACATGTTGTTTTTTTATTATTATTTCGAACACAGAAACCATACAGAGACCATAAAACGGGATTTTCGGAGGAGGAAAAAGAAATCAACGCATTTATCTTTGTGGGGATAGTAGTCGTAGGTTATGTATCGAGTCCAGTAAGATATGCGTGAGGGTGAAATGTTAATAAATATTGCCAAAAATGTAGTAAGAGACTGTTATTATTTCAATACACAGTTATGGTAGCAATTAGGAGTTACATAATACAAAAGAGATGTTAATTATTTAATCGCTTAAAATGGACATATTAAAATACAGTTGAAATTCATCTATATAGCAGAGGTATATATAGTTTCCTTTTTTCATGGAGTATACTATATATACCTCTGTAACTATTCACTGTCATTCACCTGATGTACATCCCATCGGGGCAAGTATTAGCCCAGAAATGTCGTCACCAATCTGTTGTAATAACAACTCTGTGTGTAAATAATAAAGAAGTTGCACATCCATATCAAGTGAGTTGTATTACCCTACCAACCCTGCCAACTCTCAAGTTACCCAATTACACTAACATCCTCTTAAAACTAGACTATATGTCAGTACTGCTTGTCGCGACACAGCTACACAAGTATATAAGTGCAGTCATCTTGAACACGACGTTAAAGCCCACTTCAGCTCACCTGACCATACCTGATTATAAAGAAGCTTGATGGTCATGACGTCAACCACTGGATTGTCTGGTCCAGAGTCGATTATTTACAGACTGCCGTCATATACCTGGACAAGTGCTGAGTATGGCAGTAAAATAACAAACACTAAAGAGAAGCTCTAGTTTTCTCTGATAGGACAAAACTAAGTACTCAAATGTAGTGATAAAATTTATGCAGTGCAACGACCATCACTGATGTACTCGTGAAGATCCGGGTTAGAATTGATCTTCAGCAACCCATGCTTGTCGTAACAGGCGACTAATGGGATCCGGTGGCCAGGCTCGCTGATTTGCCAAGTTGACATATGTCATTGTATCCCAATTGCATAGAACGATGCTCATGTTGTTGATCACTGGATAGTCTGGTCTAGTCTCTCTTATTTCTGACCGCCGCCATATAGCTGGACTATTGCTGAGTGCAGCGTTAAACAACACACAAATAATTGTTCTCCCAAGTTTCGATTTTTAAAACTAACTGAGTAAATATAACAGAAATAAAGTCGTCGGTTGTAAAAATAAAGACAGATTAAGTCTGCTTACTGTGTATCCGTGCATGTAATAGCCGATCAGCTCTGACACAATCGCGAAGATAATGTCTGATCGGGTGCATTTTTTTCAATATTCCAAGTGTCAGAATTACCAATGCATGTGAAAAGATAATTAGATAATGATGCCCTTTACCCAGTCCATTTACCCACTGTGTGCCACAGCTGATCGGTGTCGTCTAGGCATATGACAATGTACTTTGTATGTAGATCGACATTGTATATATTTTGCCCCCACGTGGCTCTGTCATTAATCTTGTATTGTTAGAAGAAGTCTTTTGTATGATTGACTGGGAGCACTGCTACAATGGTATGACGTTTAAAGTTTTCAACCCACGTGGCTAGTTGGTGTTGTTAACACACACTGGGTGCATGATTAGTGTCATTAATTTGACATATGTTACACGTACGCGCCATCAAGGTTCTCGTATTACTAATAATGTAGACGGAGCCAGGCGCAGAACTGAATACTGACTTAGAAGTAATTTCTTATGCGTTGAAGAAAAGAATCACGTATTGTTAAGTTGTGATTGCAATACACGACACATGAAATAATGTATATCAGATTATATAACGACCTTGTGTGGGTTCCGGGTCTAAAGAGGTGCCCAGCACTATACGTTTACCATGAAAGCAGATGAAAATGTGTATCGGATGGTCAGAATTGTGTATCATCGTGAATCGACAGCATGAATCGGCGGCTTGACTCGATAACCTGATCCAGATTCCATGCGGTGACTGACGATGGCATTGCTGTGTTTGACTGATGGTCAGACAGGTGTACGCTGACTGGGATCGCAGGTGATTGATGTAGGTGTGTGTTGACTTGGAGTGATTTAGACAGGTGTGTACATATGCAGACTAGCAATTAGGTAGAGTGTGTGTGTGTGTGTGTGTGGGTGTGTGTGTGGGTGAGATAGGTGTGTGTGTGTGACTGTGGGTGAGATAGGTGTGCGTAGTCTGGGGTGAGATAGGTGTGCGTTGTCTGGGATGAGATAGGTGTGCGTTGTCTGGGGGTGAGATAGGTGTGCGTTGACTGGGGTGAGATAGGTGTGTGTTGACTGGGGTGAGATAGGTGTGCGTTGTCTGGGGTGAGATAGGTGTGCGTTGACTTGGGTGAGATAGGTGAGCGTTGACTGAGGGTGAGATAGGTGTGCGTTGACTGAGGGTGAGATAGGTGTGTGTTGACTGGGGGTGAGATAGGTGTGCGTTGTCTGGTATGAGATAGGTGTGCGTTGACTGGGGGTGAGATAGGTGTGCGTTGTCTGGGATGAGATAGGTGTGCGTTGTCTGGGGTGAGATAGGTGTGCATTGTCTGGGGGTGAGAGTTAGGTGTGCGTTGTCTGGGATGAGATAGGTGTGCGTTGTCTGGGGTGAGATAGGTGTGTGTTGTCTGGGATGAGATAGGTGTGCGTTGACTTGGGGTGAGATAGGTGTGTGTTGACTTGGGGTGAGATAGGTGTGTGTTGTCTGGGATGAGATAGGTGTGCGTTGACTGGGGTGAGATAGGTGTGTTGACTGGGGGTGAGATAGGTGTGTGTTGTCTGGGATGAGATAGGTGTGCGTTGTCTGGGATGAGATAGGTGTGCGTTGTTCTGGGATGAGATAGGTGTGTGTTGACTGGGGTGAGATGTGTGTGTTGACTGGGGTGAGATAGGTGTGTTGACTGGGGGTGAGATAGGTGTGTGTTGTCTGGGGGTGAGATAGGTGTGTGTTGTCTGGGGTGAGATAGGTGTGCGTTGTCTGGGGGTGAAGTGTTGGTGTGTGCGTTGTCTAGGGGGTGAGATAGGTGTGTGTTGTCTGGGGTGAGATAGGGTGTGTTGTTCTGGGGTGAGATAGGTGCGTGTTGACTGGGGTGAGATAGGTGTGTGTTGTCTGGGGGTGAGATAGGTGAGATAGGTGTGCGTTGTCTGGGATGAGATTGTTATGGATGGGTGTGTGTAGACATTTAGAGAAGAGGAATCCTCAAATTTGTTGATCTGTTTGTTTCTGCATGTAAGTCAGGATTTCACCTTTTGTGTCTGCATCTCACTGCGTTTGGATATGTGCTGAAAGTTATGATAAGGATAAAGATAGATGTGTGTTGACTGGTAGGAGTGGTTAGTTAAGGATATGTGTTAAAAGTTATGATAAGGATAGGGATAAATGTGTGTCGACAGGGGATCGGATGAAGGAGAATGTGTGCGTCTGAACGGAAAGAGACAGATCAAAGATTGTCGCAATTGAATCGGCGAGAATTCCCCCTTACAAACAGTCAACAGTGAGGTAACATTCAATATTTTCGTATACTTGGAACCTATCCAGGCATTTAACACGCACAGAGTCCTTCAGGGTTTATAACCGTGTCATTCTATGTCATATGTTTTTATATATGTTGGTCATAAACACTTCTTTCATGTGAAGGGTTCCCACTCAAGTGATATAGCTGTGTTGAGTCCACTCAAACACACGTTATAAAGGCCGGTGGTGACCTAATACTGACTGTACAACCTCCTTTAACACGTCCAGGTGGAGATCAAAGGCATACCTGGTAGGATGGGACAACACCACTGACGACACCGGGATTGCTCTTTGAGGCAATATTAGTCAATATGACAAGCATCGGCTCCTTGTTAAAGATTGAAAGAAGAGCTGGGTAATGGTGACACAGATACGCCAAAGTACAAAATTATAAAACCCACATACCTAAAGGTCTGATTAAAAATCGGAAGAATATGAAATATAATAGACAAAGAACCTTCACAAAATTGTGAAATAACTTAAGTGGTCCCTATATGCCTGACAATACGACGTTTTTGAATTTTAACTGTCTCACATTGCTGTAATAGTTGATGTGAACTACAACGTATCCAAACAAACGTACACAGTGTTTTTGTTTGGTGTTCATAACTATATACAATATCTAAATATTGAAACAAAATTGATCCATCATGCAATGAATACGAAAACTTCTTTTTCTCTTGTTTTTTGAGACGTTTATGTTCATATTTGCAGTGACTCAAAACCAGGACTGAATTGATTACGCAACCGAAAACCAGTT